TGCTGACACTGGCTTTCCTTATATGGCATTAAGGGAAGAGAGTCATTTGCCAGTAATGAGAGACAGTTTAGTAGTTCTAGTCTGTTCCTTTTTATTCATTAGTCTTGTTCCCACTTGATGCTGGCAGCTGCTTCGTACATTATAAGCAGGTGTCCTCAATGTCGCACTATTTTAAAAGAATACTTTGTAGCCTTTACTTGTATGAGTTTGTATAGTAGTATAGTGTATTGGATTAATGGAGGAGTATGTATGTGTGTATCTGCTTATTAAAGTGTTTATTTATTTGTGCATATCACATTATGTCTCATTAGCTTCAGAGTCTACTAGTACACAGCCCCTTAATTACAATTAAAGGGGATTGTCTTTATTAATGATTATTGTTATTGCAGTAATTGTCGTCATATTGTAAACATGTTTTTCCAATTATTATTTTCGGTTGGTTGATAACAAATTTCTAAGTTGTTTGTCTCCCATTGACACAAGATTAATTGTGTATACAGTTTACATATCTACATTTCCCTTTCTCTCCGTGTCAGTTTGTATAAACTCTCACTTACACATGTGTATTGATTTGTTTGCCTGCTTTGCTGGCCCCTGCTTGCATTGAACTGTTTGTGTAGCTTCGAGCATCTTATATAATCTTATCCAGCAGCTGTGGGCTGTTTGGGGGCATTATTTTATTCATTTTTAAATTTCGAACTTGTTTTTCCATCACCTTCTCTGTAAATTCTTTAGTCTCTCCTTCCCTCTTCTTTATGAGGTGCAAAAGAGATTACAATATTTGTACAATAATAATATATGCATGGCAATCTGTTCATTTCATCCATTGGTTACATTCCTGTTATCATTAGATTTTCTTGTTACATTCAATACATGGACTAGCTCCTTGTTTACTCCAGTGACTCTCTCTCATGTCCAGTTCTGTGTTCAAATTATTGGCATATTTTCTTTGACTTATGAGGCCTCTGTGTGTCCTCTTGTTTTTATTTTCTGTTTTATATCCTTGTTCTTGTGTATTTATGGAGTAATAACATGTTTTGATTCGCTTGTCTTCATTTCCTTTATCACATTTACCCAATTTGCTCCAATCGACTTGTGACTCGTCAGCACTTCTCTCCCACTTTCCTTTTTATCCAAATAGTTACTTTTTCTTCTCCCTCCCTCCCTCTCTCCCTCTCTCTCTCTCTCCCTCCCTCCCTCCCTCCCTCTCTCTCTTTTTCTTTCTTCTTCCTCTCTTTCTTTAGATACCCATCTCTTTGTTGATACTAATTCACTTGTTCCTTTGAAGCACAGTCTTGGGTAAGTAGTTATTAGTAAAGTTTAGTCTTCACACTGTATCTTTGTGTTGCCTAGAATCTATTGAAAAGATACTTTGGGAAAAAGGGGCATAATGTACATATGCCATTAGTGAAGACTTAAAAGCATACATACATACATGTACACTTTCATCCAAATCCACATGATTTTGTATCCCATTCAACTTTTGTTTAGTGTTTTTGCTTCATTCATTTTGGCTAGGTTTAGTAATTATTTCCCTTTTTTTGAAAGCTTTTAAGTAGTCCCTTGCCAAAATAGACTGGCCTAAAAGCAAGCCGCCCAAGTATAGCCAATACAGCTGTCTCTCACACGCATTAGTTATGCATGTGTAGACTTTGAATTCTCTTTTTGATGTGTCTTTCTTCATATGTACTTTTAAACATTGCAATGCTTTTACTGATACATGTAGGCCAGTGGTTTTGCCAAATGCAAGAAAGGTCAAGGAAGAGATGAAAAAGGGACGCTTTGAAGCAACATTACCTGGCAAGACACAAGAAAGCAAAGGTAAAGGGTACTTGATCTCTAATCTGCTTCTTGTTGTTTGTCCCGGTATAATCTGGAGATTTTTGCAAGCTTGCAGCACCAGTCAGTGTGGCGTTACACTCCTGACAATGTTCAGCTGGTCTCAGTATTAAGCTTGTCCCATTGGCTGATGTATTGTTATGTAGAGTATTATAAAGAGTCCACTATCTGATCTCTAAAGATAAACATGTTGTGTATACATTCATTCTCATTCTTTCTGATATTGGGAACTTTATAGAGAGAGAGGAGAGAGAGAGAGAGGCCTTCGTGTTCTCTTCTATGAAAACTTTAGAAAGACAAATGAAGATAAAATAAAATATCAACATTGTTACTGTGTCACTATATGCAATGACTTGTAATAATATTACAGTGTTGTAGCTACATTTGCATGTACTATAATGTATTGTCTCTTAAAGGGACTCTTCCTTATGCTGTATTTATTCACGTCTCAGCTATCACCACATGTCAATATTCCCATTATTATTACTACTACTTACTACTACACAAACACACAGCGTGGCCCGAGTGATATTTTCTGGGTAATTTGTTATTGCCAATTTTGGTTTTTCAAAGCTAATTCTCTTCCAACTACTATATATATACATGTATGTGAGTGTGTATGTGTATATAGGAATATACTCTACTGTTGATAGTATTACATTGCTACATATGTACACACTGGAGGCTGGTTGTAGTAAATTGTAGTGTGAGTCAAGTCTTTTCTTGACAGTCTTCTTTTTCAGAATATGAGTATATTCACACTGCCTCGAGCATTAATTATGTGCCTAATTTATTAATATTCTTATTTATTTATTTGTTTTTTCATTTGATTTAGGCCTTCTGATGCTGAAAGGCTTGGGCTCTGAGGAAGGAAGGAGTACTGTCAAGATGGCTTCTATGTCTACTCTCAAAAGAGTGCGTGGGTGTTTATGTATTTGTATGTCCTCACAGCATCTTTGACACTGCAATGTACATACGTGTACATGTACATGTATATATAAATTGTGTGCATGTACAGTGTAGATGTATCCGTCGCCATTCAGGTTGTAATTGTGGCCAGCTTGAGCTTCCTTATTATATTTGTGGGCTAACGTGATTCCCAGACAATTAGACGCCAGTTCTTGGAGCTTGAGGGCTTTGGAGAGGATACGCTAATTCGGTTGTAATTTTATTTAGGCTTTAATAATAGCGCAGACTCTGCTAAGCATATTAATTCTTAGATTATAGTGTGTGCCTTTGCATGTAACCCTTGTAATGGAGTTATCATTAGCTAGCTTATTATTTATGGGATAATTGATGCACGTATTTGTACACTTGATTTTATGAAACAGGAAATTCCCATGCACTCTGTACATTTATTGTGACGCGTCGTGAGTATTGAAAGAGATTCGATACTACTTATGTCTTGCTTGTCAATATTTAATATGTGATATCATATCTATTTGATTATGAGAAAGTTTATATGCTTCTTGTTCGTGTACACATTAGCTCCCTCCAGTCTGAATGACTCTGACTAGTTATGTAACATTGGGAAGTGTATTTTTGAGGCTACTTTTAGTATGTGTGTATGGCGATCTTTTTCATGAGAGTAGGAGCTGGGTGCTCCACAGGATTTTGACATGGTGCTCTTCTCATTGGATTGTCAATTTGCTCTCTAAAATTAAGTCAAAGACACAATACCCTATACAATGTATTTTGACAAAAATTACAAGAAAAGAATTTTTCATTTTTATATTTTTTTTCTGATGCATATACATGTTTTTATGCTGTGTAGCAAGTTTGAGCTAATTCTGATTAAACTTGGATTTTTTATGAATTTTTAAAGTTACTCAAAAATAGGTCAAAAGTCCCTGTACTATAGTACAGCGATTTTGACCAAATTTTGCCAAAAATGAAAAGGAGAGAAATTTCCATTTTTATAATTTTCCCTGATGCATATACATGTTCTTACGTTGTGTAGCAAGTTTCAGCTGATTCCGGTTAAAATTGGATTTTTTTATAAATTTTTAAAGTTGCTCCAAATTCCATGTACCGTATTGTAGTGCTTGTTAGCTCATGAAGCTCATGCTTTTTATCTCACTTAGCATGCTTTGTGGGAAACCCTGTGTAGGAGTAAGAGATATTTAAGTAGATAATGTGTTTGGCATTTCATTATACGCATAGTTGGAGCCTTAATTCAATGTCTTGGTTCATTCTCTCTTCCTTCCTTTTCACTTGAATTAACTGTAAATACTTCACACACTTTAAGAAAGCCACACACAGTGTATTTTTATTCTAATTTGTCACATTATGTATTTCTATTCTTATATGGCACATTTAGGGTGTTAGTGTAGAGAATGACAATATGGAACAGTCAATTGACACTGATAATGGTGGCAGTGTAACAACAGCTTCATCATCCTTTCAGGCATCACTTCCTCTTCCTCTTCCTCAAACAATGGAGCCTATCATAACAGCTGACAATGAGCTTGCTAAAGATAAGGAGGCCAAAGAGGGGGGAGGAGGAGGAGGGAAAGAGGGGGAGAGGGTCATCACTAAGAATCAGTGGACTACCACTGATGGTCTTCACTATTTGACAACAAAGGTAAAGACAAAGGGACTGTGTTGTATCAATTATAAGACTGAGAGGAGATAAGATATTATAAGCATGCACTGTACCTCCTTCCTTTCTGTCAGTTTTATCTAATCCTAACTCTTTATTAACTATAATCAGTCCAATAAACAGAGGACATATTTTTAACTGCAATGTACATGTAGCTTGTATACGTGCATGATGAGTCTAAAGGAGTTAGGATTCAATCTCCCATTTCTCTTTTTCTCTTGTCTATGTTCTTTGCTAAACCTGTTCACAGCTATGTTGTATAATGATGCTAAAAAACCAGGCAGACAGATATTCCTTTTAAACAGCAGTGTGGCTTGTCTGCCTAAGCAATTATGCATGAATGAACAATGGAAGCAGTGAATGAGCAAATGACATTGAGTCCATTGTATTCTTTAGTAGCAGTATTAAAACAATGAAGCAACTAATGCACTATTTCACAGGCACAAAGCGATTGTTAAGAGTTGAATGCAATAGTGTATATCAGTAAAGGGAAGGCGTCAAGACCTTATTGCTTTGCTATTCATAACAGGAAACAGTTAGTATGTGATATCATCAAGACCAATGTCTCTCTCTATCAGTAGTTCTACTCTACTATTTCTTTTCTGGTTGCTTCCATGCATTCTTTTGACTTTGTGCTATAATAATTTCTGCTGTTGCTTTTTGCATGCGAGTCAAATGATCCTAGTGCATAGAAATGTAAAAAAAATAGTTCACGAGTAGTTGAAAACTGTTAAAAAGGAGTCAAATTTAATTTTAAGGCTAGACTTCCCGCCTACACATCCTGATCCCCGTGACATCATAGCGACAAGCTAGTAAATGAATTTTTCTGTTCTACTGTTACCGGGGCAACACGTTTAGGAATGCACATTTTCTGGTGGGCGTCTTTTTTAGCAATTATTATTGTTTGTTATGGGAGTACGTGAGAGGGCTCCTTATAAAAGCATCGGGTAGTGTTTTTTCCAGTCATTTTACCTCCTCATTTTCCTTTCAATCATCATTCTCAGTGACTGAGAAAGTGAGAGGGAGCGCTCCTTCGAGCAACGAAAAGAAAAGAGACAAAAGATATATTTGAGTTACAGCAATCCTGGCTTTGGTACAAAGTTACTATCGGGGCCCACCACCACCAGCAATGGCGGCAAGCAACAATGGGAGCAGTAGCAACCACGGAGGAGCAACCAGCCCCATGGGCCGCACTAAGTGCTTTCTCTGTGAAGTCCCTAGAGGTCCCTGGGCCATGATTTACGATTTTCACGAGCCAGTCTGCAGAGCCTGCTGCAACTATGAGGGTATTGATCGCATAGCTGAAGTCGTGGATAAAGCTAGACATTTGAGACGCTCACTAGAGCAGCATCCACAGCAGCAGCAGCATCCACAGCAGCAGCATCCACTGCCTCCATCCTCCTCATCTGAGCACCACGGATCAAGGAGCCCTCACGAGCTACCTGGGATCAGCTTCAGTGCTCCCGGCCGCTCTGTAATGGGCGCCGCAGTTGCTGCAGTTGCTCACTCTCCAACTGCCGCTGGCTACCACATCATTCCTAGACAGACTCTCAACGGGAGCAAAGTGGTCGTTACCAGCACAGGAAAGCAAGCCTTTCCATTTCCAGCTACAACACTCTGTCCTCCGGGACTTCAAACCCAGCCAGTCATTCCAACTACAGCTTACAGCACAGCTACCACAACAGCAGGCCCGGCTCGCCTCCCACCATTCCCAGGGATGCACAAACCAGTCGTCCCAATGGAGATTCATCCCCAGCAAGAGACAACCCAGCGTTTCGCCCAGATACAAGAGACACTTAACGTTCTGAGCAAGTCCCCACCATTCCGCGTCCGCTTCTCCAAAGACCACTCACTGATAGGTCGAGTCATTGCATTTGATGCTGTCTGTCGTGGTTCTGACTACGAGCTCAAAGTGTTTGTAGAGTATCCAATTGGATCTGGCACAGTCTTCCAGAGTGCCTCTGGAGCTGGTAGACAGATGTATGGTGAATTCAGAGAGAGGCTAGGCATTGGAGGTGGTTTCAGAGGTGCATCGTCTAATGGTTACAAAGACTTAGAATTTGAAAAGGCTTTTGGCGACGAAGACTGGCGTGTGCTAGGCGAGCTCCTCACCGAAGAAGTGAGATTCTTTAGAGGTGCCGTAAAGAAGGAACTCCTCCCCCAGCCGTTTGTAGATCCCCAGCATCCTAACGTACCTCCGGCAAACATGTCATCCACCCGGGGCTTTCTCAAAAACAATCTCCTCAACCGTAAGAGGAAATCATCAAACGAGGACGAATCAGACACAAAGAAGAAGCTAATGGAGAACGGGATGTCAGACGATGGACATGCCTCTCCTTCTCCCCGTGGAGTAGATCAACCTCTCTCACCCGCAGATTCTAACAGTGCAGCTGGGTCCCCTTCTCACACCAACAGTGTCTCAAGCCCTCATTCACCTCCTACTACCAACGAGAAGAAGAGCCCGGAGCCGATGGAGTGCCTCATATGTCACAAGGCGTTAGATGATACTCGTTTTGTCCAATGTCCCTCAATGGGGCCACACAAGTTCTGTTTCTCGTGTTCAAGAGACAGCATAAAACAGCAAGTCTCCTCCTCAAAAGACGTTTATTGTCCTAGTGGACTCAAGTGTTTAGTACAAGGGAGCTCAACGCCTTGGGCCTTCATGGAGCAAGAGATATCTACCATTTTAAAGTCTGAGTTTTAACTACATAATCTCTTTACACACACTCACATGCACTATATCTCCTCCATTAATAACTTCCTCAAAAGATTTACATTAATCCTTTTAATGTTGCATGATTATTCTCTCTCTCTCTCCTTTCTTCTTTTCAAATCCTCAATTAACTTTCTCTTCTACCCTCTTATTGATCACTGGTATTTATTTTGAAATTATTATTATTATTATTGTTATTATTATAACAATCTTTTATTAATGAAATCTCTTTCACTTTCCAACAATCAGAAGTAGATTGAAAATAATAATTATAATAATTGCAAATTAATTTGAAAATATTCACAGCGCTGTTATTATTGTAGTATTATCATAATGGTCACCATTGATGCAATAAGCTGAAAGTGTGTGTATTTAGACTGGCAGTGATGGGAGCCTAATTTTCCATTATTTCTCTTTGTTCCAGTAATTTTATTGTCTTCGTAACTAGAGTACACCAGATAAGGCTAAGATCAATTAATAATCAAATTAATGAATAATTACTCGTAATTAATCACCTTCTGGTAGATTATTCTGCCGCCCTAATCTAATTGGATGAAACTAGAACTGATAGTAACCAAACAAGGTCATGTGTGTTCTCCTTGTTATTATTTTAGCTAAACTATAGAGGCATATATTCTTGCATCATTATTACTACTCTCAGCAAAAATGACACTGCATTTGGTTGATAAAATAATGGCACTCACATGACACCTGGTTGTTGCACAACCATACTGCCCTTTGCACCTCTAATGCAGTGAGTTTATTCATAGCCTGGGACTTGTGGCTTATACAAATGCTGTGGTGTATTTGAGTGTCTGATTGTGTGACATCCATTTCTTGCAACACCTCTCATTGATGGTTTAGTTCTGATACTATTAATAGCAGCAGCAACCCTGTACGGTAACAACGAAAAGACCCTTGATTTACATTTTCACACCTTGCTTGTATTCAGCATAGTATCAACATTAGTATTATTATGATTATTGTTTCATTGTTTTATTTATTTTTGTCTTTATTTTTGTTTCACAACTCATAACATCTAGGTTGTTGATGATGACCGGTTGATAAAGGTGATCCAAAAAGGACAGGAGCTCCTCCATGAGATCCGCATGGCTCATTCTCACCTCCCATACTCAGCAATGGAGAGACAGACAGATTGTTTCTCAATCGAAAAAAGGTACACAGACACACACATCACACACATTGAGACACGTACATGTATCATACTTAGATCAGATTCTCAGCATTGATGCATAGTTTACATTATAGCAATATTGATACTAATGATTTGCATGCGTGAGCAATTTGAAATTTATGAGTGAATTGTGTAGTCATAGTGCTGCTATAATTATGGGCTCATTATGCACGGATCATGCATCACTAGCTATGCCCTTTATATTTGGTATTTCTTCATTGAACTATTCATCTTTTGTGTGTTTTTGGCATTGCTTACTCCTTGACTCATTTTGATATTTCATAATAATTTGTTTTCACTCAGCAGTGGGATGATGACCTCATGCCAATGATTTCGCTCATTGTTGTTGTTGGGTTAGAGACAACTTTCTTCCTTTGTAAGGTGCCAATTAGATGTTTAACCACAGGAATATAATGTATGCATGCATGCATGTGTGCATGTGTCTGTGTGGGATGTAAAGTCTGTGGATTATCTGTAGCTGTTTGTAATTATGCTATTTACTATCCTGAGCCCTAAATGTATTAGCCATTGGCTGTCAGTATTGAATCTTTGATGTAGTTTGGTGGGGCATAGGACATGTGGGCTTTGAGCATCAACAAATGACAACAATAATAGACTTTGAAGTGTTGCTAAGACTTTGAAATAATGCTGGAAAATATTGTCGGCTTCTTCTCATGTCAGAGTCTAAGGGTATGCGTGATTGTGTGAGTGAGAGAGAGAGAGAGGGGAGGGAGGAGGTGTGAGAGAGATTACTGTGTTTTGTTTCATAATTATTTTAAACCAATTAATCAATTTCAGTAATCTCCTTTTGATTTGATATATATATATGTGTGTGTAATATCTCCATGACCATTTTTGGTTCTAATGCTTGCCTTAGATTTGGTCGGTGACAATAGAAAACAAAATGTATCGTCAGGTATTTGCATCTTAATGTGATTGTGATAGATAATTGAGTGCAAATTTGTGATAATATTAAATATTGCTGTTTCCAATGAAAAGGAGGAAGGGAGAGCGGAGCCAGGGAGCCCTTGTTTATCATCTCCCTTGCTATAATACAAATCATGAAAGATTATAATTTGTTCTCTTCCTTCCTCAGCTCATTATCCTAATGCTACTGCTCACGCCAGTGGTGTCTTCACACATGCACAGATGTTATGCAGACACAAGTCTTTGTGGGTCTTTCTGGGAGGAATTTTTTTGGCTTGGAAATTACTCTTGGCTTTATTGTCTCTAAGCACATTCTAGTGTACAGGTGCCTCCACGCATTGTGGTGACTCAGAATGTTATATTAGGCTCTCAGCCTCACTGTATGTATCATTATGCCCTCTCACAGTCTCCAAGTGCAGCATGTACATGTATATACATGTATATGTACAGGTTTCTTGGCCACTGGGTCAAAACTACATGTACCCTAACCACTAATAATCCCATGAAGACCTTGACTGCCTTGTGGGCAGTATTGTCCACTCCTATGGTGTGTACATACATTGACCAATGGTTTGTGGGACATGCTCCCTTCACAATGTACTGTATTACTAGCTGGACATTGTACTCTTGTGTGTACATGTACATGTACATAGAGGTTGCCATTATGTAGTATTGAATGTGCTGATATGTGCATGTTGGGTATACTTTAATGGATTTCTGATTAAATGCATTTTTATCGGTTGTGGCTTGAAGGGAGTGGAGCATGCCGCAGCAGCAGCAACAACAAGCCTATTTCTAGCGTGTTTAATTTATTTATCATCTTATTCTATTTTCCTTTACACAGTGAGATCACACAGAGGGTGACAAAGGTCTTGTACACTTCCTCAAATGATTTTAAAGTGAGATAAAAAGAGAGTTTGAGAGAGAGTAGCGGAAGAGAGAGTGAGGGTGAAAGGTTGAAAACTTACAATTTTTATAACTTAGAAACTTGTATTGGAATCAGCTCTGCATAGCATAAGGGCATTGGGTGAATGAGGTTTCTGTGGGAACCAATTTTTGGAAAAAATCATGGGCTATTGTAATGGTTTTCGGTGTTCCTAAACTCAAATATTTGCTATTGAAATCAACTCAAACTTTTTACATAGCATAGGGGTGTCGATATGCATCATAAAAAGTAATGAAAACTGAGAAATTTTTTATAGACATGCAAAGCCATTTTTGGTGAAAAAGCCATACCATGAACTGTATATACATGTACGTATAGTCATGTGTATTGTCACTGCAGTGCAGTCCTGTCCTAATATGATTATTATGGAGAGAGAGTGGTAAACACATTCTCTTTTAGTTATTTTTAATTTAATCAATTTACAGCTAAAGTCACTAACGTATCAAATTCATAACTCCGGTGCTAACATGATCTTACCTTTTCTGCCACCTATACTATGTCCCACCTTCACTGTGACCTCGTGATTCGTGTGTGAATATAAGTATTGTGTATTATAGATATTGTGTATTTGTTGCACATTTTCTTGCACTAGAAACACATCACAATCTTTTTTGTGCCTGCACTAGTACAGTGTGACTATATATAGCATCTAATATGCCTTGTTATAATGTATATGTTCATGCAATGATAATAATAGCAGTAATAATATTGATAATAGTAATAATAGTAGTTCATTAAGATATACATGTATGTTAGGGTAGTTTCATGAAACAAGGGCACAAGGTGTGTGTACGGCCTGCATTTATTAATTGTTTGTATAAATTTATCTTTTAATCATATTATTATTATAAACATCAGCCCCAGGACTCCCAAATAATGGATTATATTATAAACAAGCCTAGAGTCATATCTCCCTTTAAGCCAATTGTAACACTTGTAATGTCTTCCCTGTTAAATAAACACGAAATAAAATGGACACAATATGTAAGACTCACACTTACTCAGCGCTCTTTCATTCAACCATGAATCCTGTGATGACCATTGTCCCTATGGGGTTTAGAGTACAATGTTGTATTGTGAATATTCTTATACTCTCTCTGACATGATATAATCATGTATCGCATATTCTCTTGCCAAAAGTTAGTATTACTTTTTAGCATTGATTTAATTAGCTTTTCCTCTTTCTGTCTTTTCTGGATTTCTGCCTTCTTGGCATTCCTTACTGATTGCTCCTTTCCTATGGGAACTCCATTTCATTTGAAAGTGTGCCCCAACTCTTACATTATTGCTCATGTTTTAATTATTAAAATGCATCCTTGAGAATATGTTCCACGTATAGCAGTCTACTCTACTAATATAGTCAACTGTGTGATGTACAGTACATGTATGTGATAGAGGGAGATAAAGTTGGGTTATTGTTTATTTTGAACAATTTTGATTTTTGGTGTTACCAAGTCACATGGAGCAGAGATATAGAGAAAGAATTGATTAGAGAGAAACAAAAGATTTTAGACTTTAGTGAAAAGAGAGAGTGGTGGGGCCTGAAGGGAAAACAAAAAGGAAAGAGAAAGTGGAAAGGTTAACAGCCCCAATGTCTGTCTGCCTTGAAAGAGACTGAAAATACATATACTAGCTTGTACTCACTCAGGTAGCTGAGGTGTAAAGGAAAGATATTAATTATATTTGATTAGCATTGCCCTTATTTGGTAGCAAGCAGGAGATTAAGTATAAAATATTTTCATTGTTTGATGCAATCCTTCTGCTTCCTTTTCTGTGCGTCCCTGTACATGTGATATGTATGTGTGTGTATATTCTGATGGTAATTGTATTTTAAAGTTTAAATGATCACATAGCTAGCATTTCCTGTCAGTCCAGGCTTGTATGCTAAAAGATAACCTTTTATGTATGGCCTATATCACCACGCCATGCCTTTTCTGATCCTAATTATAGCCTTGCCTACAACTAAAATTATAATTATTTGGTATTGTTGTGTTTGTGTACATGAGCTTGTTCTGTCATTTGATTTGATCTCATTAAACCCAGACACTGTAAATGTAGCGTACACAAATAGTCAATGTCAGGTATGTGTGCCTGTTGTGTGGGTATGTATTAGCCATTATTGTGTTAGGCAGCTAAAGAAGGATTATATCCTATTAGTGGGAATTGTCTCTTGTATGTATATGCACATGTGACTTAATTGTACGATGTATGCACGCATAGTATCGGTCATTCATTTTGTGTGTAACTATAACTACGTGTTTGTATTTTCTAAGTATTGTTTGTGCTATTTGTTGTAGAATGTATTTTTAAATGCTTTGTCACGGAACTTCAAAAGAGCAGCAAGAGTACAAGCATGTCAATAACTAGGAGAGAAGAAAAGGACGGCGATAAATATAATGTAGAGGATGAAATGGAGAGGACAATGGAGAGGGTAGTGGGATGTGTTTTGGTGTTTTTCTTCCTTGGGTGTGTCTATTCCACCTGCTAACCTCATCTTTGTTGTAGGTTAGTCTCCTACTCATCCTGTTTGAACTCCAAAACTAACAGACTCAAACTGGATTACACCTGGCTAAACCAAATTACAGTTTATTGTTATTATGCTCCGCTACCAATTCCAAGAACACCCTGCATGTGTTTTTTGCCCGTGTTGATTGTTTTTTCAGGGACAACGTTTGTTTTTGCATTCTGGGTCATTTTCAGGGTGCCTCAATAATAACTTTGTTCTCTTGTTCTTTCTCTAAAATGAAAATACACTTTTAAATTGCGGAAACTGCTTGTCTTGTGCTGTAAAAGCTTTGGTTCACTTTCTATGTATATACTTTCATGCACGTTCCCCCATCCCTCTCTCTCTCCCCTTTTATCTCTCTCTCTCTCTCTCTCTTTCTCTCTTTCCCCTTTTATCTTTCTCTCTCTCTTTCTTCTTTCTTGCCCACTCTTTTTGCTACTGTTTTTCATTTTGTCCTCGCTGTGTACGGTTGTATTGTCTTACTCCCTCCCACTTGTTTTGCAGTCTAGCCGTACACTGGCCAACCCATCCTAGCATCATCCCCAAACACTCTATCACACTCTCTTATCCACGTCAATACTTACTTGATATACACCCACACACCAGTCCCTGTACACACTCCTTAAATATATCCAATGGTATAATATGCTTAAGTACTTGATGTATTGTTATGTGCTCCTATAAGAGTATGTATGTATATACTATGAAAACATAACAAAATGTCTGTATTTATTTAAAGTCTTTGTTGATTGCTTTGCCATAAGTTTTGCCCTCAAAACTCTCCTTTTTCTGGTTTTGTTTTGCTTGCTTTTCCCCTTATGCATAATGTTAGTGTTGTCTTTATTAATTTTACCAACTAAAAGTTGTTTTTGCCTTGTAGGATATGGTTTGTTAAAGCATTAATAGTCTCATTTATTTTTCCCCTCTCTCTCTCTCACTCTCTTCCTCTCTCTTTCTCATTTTTTCCAAAAACTTATTTCTCTATAATGTATACATGTACAAGTATTTGTTGCGGTAAGAGAGGGATAGTTATAGTCAGGTAGTCTGTACAAACTATAGAGAGTATAGACTAACTACACTGTGTATCCATCCTTATGCATATGCAGCATATACTTGTTTATCCTAATCCCTGTTACATAGTGTGTGTCCTATAGTGTTGCATTAATTTTTATCAATTGCAATAGACAACATTGACACTGAATGGGTATCAGTTCCTCCCACTGGAGTAACACTTCAGCCTAATAACATGTACACACATAAACACAATATCAAGTGAACACACACACTATACATGTACTATCTGTATGTCCCTTTACTATGGACTGTTTTAGTTAGACTTTGAACTACCTCATTGATTATGTGGTGTGAGAAATGGATTGATTAGTAATGGTTAGTTTTATTATAGTCGCTCCCTGTCTGCCTCTATGTCTTGTTTAGCTGTTTCATCCCTCCTACTCAATACTCTTCTCTTGGATTCTGTGGTTTTAACAATTTCCTTTAGCTCCAAAGCTTATCACAACTTTCCACTGGCTTCTCGACCTGATTAACCTGGCACCTGCTTGCTTTGAACTTATTTTTTGCTTCTTTTATTTCTTTACTACCAGAAGCTCTTACAGTGCTCACCTTTGCATATAGAGATAACCTTATCTCTCTCTAATGTTCACACTATGTAATTTACTAAATGAATTTTTATCACTATTTTTCATGTGATTAATCTTGCAAAAATGTATTTTTAGAAATATTATTTTTTGTAAAAAGTGTTTATATATGATTGCTCTGCCTTATTAGATCATAGATAGAGCCTCTGTGTGTGTGTGTGTGTGTGTATGTAGTGGCAATATTATGATTGTTAGCTGTTTGATGTATATCAGCTTCAATGAATAAGAACAACGTGTTTGATTGTGTGTCTCTCTCTGTGTGGCATGAATTGTGTGTGTGTGACTTTGTGTGTGTATAATCAGTTACTGTAAATTGAAATACAAATCTTTCAAGTTATTTTTCACAATCACCACCCAGGAGGCTCACCCTCCATCTCATTGTATGTGTGTGTCCTTTAGGAAACTGTGAATTAGCTTATGAACGACTGGTTAAGCAATGCACACACACACACACTAATGGTCTTATAGTCCTCCATTTATTGTTATTTGGCATCAAAAGACACAAACATTTAATAGACTATTGGCAAGGCCTAGTAAGTTAAAAAGTGGACAAAGATATTATTTACATTTTGTATTGTAAGCCAACCTTTCAGCATACGTATACACACACAAAAGTACATACACACTATATGCACTAAAAGCAAACAAAGAGGCGGCTACTATTTGTACTGTATTTGTTTATGATTGGTTTTGTTGCTGATATTTAATCTCCACTCCCTTATTACACTAATAATCCATTTCCTTCTTTCACTATCCTCCTATCAACCTGAAAACAATCCTCTCGTGCTCTTTTCCCTTTTCAATATGTCTAGACTCCTGCCTTTTATTCTTATTACTAATCATGCGGCTTCTTTTTCTCTTTTTTTATCATTTTCATTTTGACTGTCTGATTGACTTCTGTAATTAATTTAGCGTCTCCTTTTCCTCCTTTCTCTCCCCCCCCCTCTCTCTTTCTCTCCCCCCTCTCTCTCTCTCCCCCTCTCTCTCTCCCCCCCTCTCTCTCTCCCCCCCTCTCTCTCCCTTGTGCTGTAGGCCAAAGATACAGGCACTGCTAATAGACTGTCTACCTTTCATCAAAAGAAATCAAAACTTGCCAGAGATGGCCAAAAGAACAAGGTATTTATGTATGTCTACATGTGTACATGTTCATTGCTTCCTATGTATGTATACATGTACATGTACATGTGCATTAGTCAAATACAAAATGTCCATTACATGTGTACATGTACATGTACATGACAAGTTTTATTGTACATGTACATGTACCTTTCTCCCTCTCATTCTTTCAATCACTCCTCTTCTTATTTGTTTTGCTTTCCGCCTTTCTCATCATCCTTTCCTTTTCCTTAATTAGCTACAGATGCCATTAGCATGCTTGTATTATAGTAATAATATAAATATTCTTTGTTAATTTGTTATATTCTCCTCTGGCCCTAGAGTGCCCTCTTTTCCTCCTTTTTTCCCTCAACGCATTTTCCTGTTTGTTAGACTTACCACTAATCATTTATAGAATTACATAAACAAGCCATTCCGCCTTTGAAGAGGAAAGAAGGACGGAATTTTAGGGCCATGCATGCATGCCTTTGGTCATAAATTACAACAAGATCACTCTTGGCTACAGTCTATTGCTCTGGAGACAGGAAAGGGCCATGGGAATATTCCATACAGTAGTGAATCACTGTGTGCATTGGGTGTTCCTTTTCTTAGTAAAGGGTTCAGCCTTTGCCCTCTATTGTTCTTTGCTTGTGGTGAACTCATATTGCCCTCACTATAGAAACGGGTTTATTTATCTAGCCAAGTGACAAATTAATCATTAGTGGCTTTAATAATTAATTTATGGGTTTTGAGGCCCAGGCTCAAGAGATACTAAGGTAAATGCCCCAGGGTAATTAGCCCATTCCCTTTATTAAGGAAAGTATGCTATTTCTCCTTAAGTAAGTAAGTGGGGGTGACACTCCATGAACACATTGCTGGTGGGTTGATTCACTTGGTTGCACCTTTTACTAAAATATTGACTCTGAAGCCATTTTAACCTCAAAAGCAATGGTTTAAAAGAGTTCCTTATTAGTGTAGTAAAGAATTGATATCATAAGCTGAAGCCATCTTGACTCCATAGCTATGATAACACCTTGAAAAATAAGCTATTGCCGCAGGGAATGTGTAGTGGAGAAGAGAGAGAGGGAGGGGGAGAGAGAGAGGAGAGAGAGAGAGAGAGAGAGAGAGAGAGAAAGAGAGAGAGGAAGAGAGGAAAGAAAGCCTGTACAAGTTTGTGTACTGTATGAAAAGTCTGTGTGAATTTGTGTACTGTATGCGTGTAAAGTGATGAATTATACCATATTTGGTCAAGCCTGTCTATTTATTCCTTTTCCTATTGGCGTGGCCTAGTTTTAGTTTTCATTAACACAGTTATCTACACATATCACAGTCCAGTAAATAAAGATATACATGTACATGTACACATTGTGCATGCTTACATAAATTTCAAATATCAATATTATACATGCACCTGGATGTCATTGTAAATCAGGTTTTGTCACTTGTTAATAATCAGGTTTAGTGGGTTCTTTTGAGTCTCTTTTCAACACTATAGGTGTGTCTGTATAGAGGAGAGGCTGACCATAATTCAGCCTCAAGTTTAGAGAGGTATATGCACCTAACCACAGGCTGCCCTTCCTCCTCTATTGACTTTGTACCTGCTAAACCAGTTCTGGTGTCTTCTTATCAAACTACAGGAAAGATAACATATCTAAATGATGATGTAACAAGCATAGAGAGAGGAACGATAAAAAAAGAACAAAGAGGATTGCCAGGAGTGGCAGACAGTGGCCCATTGAGAGAGCAAGAATGGGTAGAAAAGACAGAGGCTGGGTCTACTCAAAAAAGTTGTTATAAACTTGACATGTGTCACATTGGTGGCGTTACTCTAGTCGAGAGTAATCTTGACGAGCAACACGAGGAGGTCCTGATTGAGGAAAGAGAGAGGAGTCATGGAGGGGGAGAAGAGGAAACCCGATACGAGGAAGTGAAGAAGGAAAGTAATGTGTGTCCCGTGGAGGAAATAAAAGGGAATTTAGTAATGAGGGTGACGTCACCAGTTCACAAAGGACCGGAGGGCAGTCTTCAAAACACTCGCCCCAGACTAGCTGTCCAGGTAAAAATGATTTTTTACATAATTTAAAGCCAATCAAGCTCATAAGCTTAAACATGTTTGAGCATTAACTGGCAAATTTGTAGAGCTTGAGTCATTGACATGTAATCCTGACTATTGCTATTCATTGGCCTGTACATGTTTGTGCACTTTTAGCTTCCTTTAGATAAGGTTTAATGCTATTCACAGGCTTTTTAGAAAGAGTAATAAATCCATTTAGAGTATAACAATGGAATTATGTTACAGTCCATTGCTGGGTATAGTGTAGGATTTCATTTTATCGAAACATGTGTGTACATGTACATGTACATGTACATGTACACTAGCTGTATGTGTATATGTGTGTGTGTGTGTACGCACGTATGTACATGTACACTGAAATTCTGTTTTTAAGGATGATTTGTAATACTTAGAATGCTTATTATTCAATTGAATATTGACATGATTATGTACATTCGTTTGTACATGTACATATATGTACATGTACATGTATACGTATGACATTCACTGTCATTATGCTAATTACTTGTTATTGGAATTGTTAAGTTAATTCAACTATTCCTTATCTCTCCTTCTGTTCTTGTGATAACGCTGAGTCTTTAATCATAGCTAGAGGATACAGTAAAATGTGATAAATACATGATATCACCAGGCAATTGCTGACTATTTGTGCTATGTACATGAACCTGTGTCCTGTGTACAGTGTTACATGGTCCATGAACTCGACGCATTCCATGAGTTTATGCTCCTCTGATCAAATGCATTACAAATGTTATATCATTCAAGTTTAAGCATTTATCACTGGTTTTACACTCTGCACTTTTACATGTTGCATACTTTGTATCTTATTTGTTAGTGAATGATATCTCCTATCAAGCTATGAGCTCAGTTTGTGGTGTTTTTATGTGGTTAGATGCTTCATGGTTACATTATACGTGTATGTGTATACTCTAAAAGCTGCTTCCTTTCTTACATCAGGCAGTCCTAATTTGTGTATACCCTGTGTAGTAATATTTGATCCCTGTGTAATGGTGTCGATTAGTGGTCCAAGCTTAATGAATGTTTAGCGGATCCTAATGCTGTTTATATCCATGTTTATCTGTGGTTGTGTACCACTCAAAAAAAGTGTTACTCAATCTCCTATTGTGAGGTCACTCCTATCTTAAAAATCCTTTCTAGCCCATTCCCTTTCCTCTTGTCTCTCATTTTTCCCTTCCCTCCCACAATCTCCTTGCTCCTCCTCCTCCTTTTCATCCCTCCTTTGTCAAGTGTCCTATACAAACAGCCACACTCTCACTGGGTGTTGCTCTATTCCCCTGAGGTTTTCTTGCACTGTCTGGTAGGCTGGGCCCTCTCACAGGACTATAATGCTTTGTAATGTAAGATGCATGCATGTATGAATATACTTATAAGATTTGTGTAGTATATGGCTTGTATGGTGTCTCTTTTGTGTATAGGAATGTACTTTGTTTCGACTTAGTATGTCTCCTGTTTATTTCTCTCACTGCGTTTGTTATTATTTCGAGTTGAATTTTTGTCGCCGTTTGTAAATATTGGCAGCTTTCCACTCCTCATGTATAAAACATTAACTATATGGAGTTTATAACATTTGTGTGTGTGTGTGTGTGTGTGTACTATGGGTATAATATCTAATTGGAAATTAAAATTCATTTTTCTTTGACTATCCATCACTTCGTTTGTTTGCCAACTTGGCTTTGCATTTCATTAACTACAATTAACTCTTTCTGCTAGTAAACAGACCAAAAACACTCCGCTCTATAAAGAGGAAATGGAGAGAGAGAGAGAGAGGAAGAGAAAAAGAAAAAGAAAGGAGCTGTTGATACTAATGATGTTACTTGTTTCCTGGGATCATATCCTCACTACTTTATTAGCTCTCTCTCCCCCCCTCTCTCTCTCTCTGTGTTCAGGAAATAATTCCACCTTAATCAAAGGAATGCCCTTGTTTATTTTTTTGGAGAAAGCAAGAGAGGAAGAAATGCATGTACAAGAGAAAGAGAAATTATAGTGTCATAGTCTCCATATGTGGTCATTGCTTTCACATTTTATTCACAATAACACTTTCTTGGGACTCCTGCTGAGTGAATGGTATTGCAAGCATTCGCCAACCACTTAGTTTTCTCCACAAACAACATAGCATTGTGCATACAGTAGATTAGCCGAACAATGGAAGTTCTGAAGTTGTTTGGCTTGTCATATGCTATCCTTGCTCAATCCCATTGTTTGCATTTGTTCAAGTTCTGATGACAAAAAATTAGAGAGTAATTGAAACTATGCCCAAGACAGATTGCTTTCCCAACATATGATGGTCCAATGACATTCATTCCAGTGTCTTCCCTTGCCTTCTGTGGACAAAACATTACTTGTAAAGTGATTGCACATGATTCACTTAATGTTAGAAATTGCTTACATGTATATATCATAACTTTGTCCTTCCTTTATTGTATTAGCTATAGTTCTGATTCAATGCATTGTACATGAATACTATATAGTAATTGTATTAGCTCTTAATGTACATTCAGGAAAGAGGAAATGGCTGCTAACTCAAACTATTACACAACATTGTTATTATTTTAGCACCTCTAAAGGGGAGCTCCGCCTAAACTTTATTCTAAAGGGGAAAGGACGTGTTTATTTTTGTCTTATTGCCTGTGTCATGTCTTTATGCATAATAGATTGTGACTATCATTCCTCTTAATTGGTATGTTTTGAAGTTCTTGAACTAATGTTGTGATTGATTCAGACTGGCCCCTTAACTTCCTCACTATTCTATAATCATCAACATTAATAATAACATTATTATTATTATTATGCAGTACTCCATTATAGTACCATGTAATGAGAGATAGAGAGAGAGAGAGAAAGAAGGAGCACAAAGGGAGATTTATGCATATTTTATGCCTTTGAGTGTAAGAGGGAAAACAGTAGGAAAATAAGGAAATACTGACAAAGAGAGAAGAAAGAATAATATGACAATTAAATGAGAGGGATACAGATGAGTAAGTAATAAGGACTAAGAGTAATAACTATTGTATTGTATGTCCAAAAAAGTTATCATTACAATAATAATAATTATATACCACACACACACATAGGTGTGTGTGTCAGTGCGTGCATCCCATTGTGATATTATTATGCAGTGTACAGTGTTTGTGGTTAACATTAATCACTACAGTCTGTGATATAATTCACTTCAAAAACATTAAGAGTAAATGGAGACGGAGAGTCTAAAAATTGCATTAACATCTAATGTACGACCAATTATGGGCACTCAAAAGATATCCTCTTTCGCCTAATGAAGTGTCATTATTTGATTTTAGACAGATGCTTGTATGTATCTGTGTTTATATACTCACTACATTTACCTACTTGATGATCACACACACACACACACACACACACTTGTGATATTGTCCCATTTTCTCATTACAGAGCAATTTCTTGCACATATTTCTGTTTGTTTTTTTCTTGAGCCAGTGAATGATGGCTATATGGTTGTGCAATGAGAAATATTAATAACTTTCAGTCTTGGACTCATTTATATGTTTTTGAAAGCTGCTTCTGTTGATTCTAAAAGGTATTTTTTCATTCGTCCTTGTTTGTCTTACCAAAATGCCTGCTCAACTCTAATTGATGTTTATGTACTCTGCCAGCTAAGTTCAATGAGTTGGCATTCTTTGTATAATGACTGTAAATCTTATTAACTCTTATCCTATATGACTGTGTTTACTAGCAAACCTTACATTATTAATCCTAATGCAACTAGCAGCCAAAAAGGAAGGCAGGGGACAGAATATATATTAATTAGCACCAACACTTTATTTGGTGGAGATCACGTACCACGGAAAGAGAGGGTGAGAGAGAGAGAGGGGGACAAACAACTTCATTATCACCACAAGCCTCACAGATCACTGGCTTTTATAAGCCAATCACAACACATCAGGCCTCGTATACTGTCTGCTTATCAACAACACTTGTGCTGTTATTGGATTTATAAGCCACAGCCAATACATGCAGCATCAGTCACAGGGAGAGTGTTTGTGTGGCAGCCTCTCAAAAACTGTATGTGGACTAGCTCGTATAGTGTATGATATATGACCTAGTCAGTTATTGAGACCACAGCTGTTTTTTATCGGCGACAGTCAGGAGAAAATTTTTACATTTCCTGATGCATATACATGTTTTTATGTTGTGTAGAAAGTTTGAGCTGATTCCGATCAAAATTAAATTTTTTATGAATTTTTAAAGTTACTCCAAAATCGAGCCATAGTACAGGGTGTTTGGCCAAATTTTGACAAAAATGACTAAGAGGCAATTCTTCATTTTAATAATATTTCCTGATGCATATACATGTTCTTATGTTGTGCAGCAAGTTTAAGTGGATTTTGATCGAATTTGGATTTTTTACGAATTTTTGAAGTTACTCAAAATTTGAGCAAAAGTCCCTGTACTATAGTACAGGATGTTTGGTGAAATTTTACTAAAAATGAATAGGAGAGAATTCTCAATTTTTATAAGATTTTCTGGTACATATGCATGTTCTTATTTTGTGTAGCAAGTTTGAGTTGAGCCCATTTAAAAAAATTTAAGTTATGAGCGCTCAAGTCTAGAGAAAATTAAGCAACACTACCAATCTGCTGCATGTACGTACTGCCACTAGCTGTTTTCAAAAACAGGATAATGCTGGCTGTTAAACAAGAAATTATGATAATTATTTTATTAGGTGTAGTATGTATGGTGTGTGTGTGTGGCTGTAGCTCAGAGGCACTCAGCACATTCCTTTCTCATTGAATAATGCGAGTGCCAGTAACAGCAGAATACACACATCACTGTGGACTGATTGATGCTGTAATACTGTGTAACATGCCAGACATAATTATTCCAACAGTTCATTGATCAGTCATTTGTGTTACTAGCAATAGAATCCTTCCAACTTGATTTTAAAAAACAAGAGACACCTCCCTTCCTCTTTTTCCTTTTTCTTCCTTCTTTTTTTATTTCCCTTTTCTCTCTCTTTCCCTTCTCTCTCTCTCTTTCTCTCTCTCTCTCTCTCTCTCTCTCTCTCTCTCTCTCTCTCTCTCTCTCTCTCTCTCTCTCTCTCTATACATGTGTACCTCTTCCTCCTCTCTCTTTTTCATATGTTTCATATGTAATTGGACAAATATGTCTCTATAACCACATGTTCTTTATTTGAATATTAGTACAACATTATGTCACAGCTAAACCATCTGCTTATGATAATGCCTTGTGTTGTGTGTTGTGGCGAGTGCATTTAAGAGGCTTTTGCTATCACCGATCATCATAAATGAAGTTATGGCTCAAAAGGGGGATTATCATAGAGCCAACGCAGACATAGTGACCCTTATTGTTGCTAAGTAATTGATTATTGTCACCCGTTGGTATGCATGGAATGTACTATTGTACAATGAATAATTAGTTATGTATGTACTTTATATGTAGCAGTATGTACTATACTGTATAGTATAAGCATGTATTGTGTATGTACTTATTGTTTTGTGTATTATATGACCTACAGGAGGTGATTTCCCAATGTCTGAACTCAAATGGTCTTATGACTTCTCTGATCTCAGACTTAGCCTTTTAAAGGATATTCATAAACTCATTATCAAACGTTATCACCCACACCTCCTACTCTCTCTCTCTCTCTCTCTCTCCTTTGTGTCACATATTGTATTATGCTGCTGTATTGTATGATAATAATAAGTCAAGGGGCTTTATTTTGTGTCTGTCATTAATGAGATTAATGACGTGACAGTTAATATAATGCCTCTGATCTTTGAACTCAAGGCATACTTTCCCTCAATATCTTCGCCTCCTGTTTTAAGTAGCTAAGATACACTATATATGTATTGAAATATTATAGATAAGGCTCACCCTTTCTCTCCTCATATTTTAATTGATGTGATTCCCCTTTGTGACATACAGTTTGTATCCTATAGGTGGCGATTTTCCTGTGATTCGAATTTTTGCAAATTTTCACTTAATTTTACAAATTTGCTGACTTAACTATTTGATGTTTTGGAATTATTGAGACACTATGGTGGCTCAATCATTATAGCATGCTTGTCATATCAAGTATGAGATTTAATGTAATTTAACGTACCACCACCCAAAAAGCAAATCAAAGCAGTTTGTAATACGTATACTACACTCGTGCATGTAATTCTCATTCACTATACACTGTTGTCTTAATGCGCATGATGCTTCTCAATAGCTCAATACATAATGTCATTGTTACAGGGTCAGCTCAAATAATTATAAGTACATATATACAATGTATATATATGTATGTATAATAGTAATAGTACACTGTGAAATGATATTATTGATTAAATATGAAAGGGGGTGATTTGAGAGGGTAAGAATGTACTCTGTGTGTACAAGGGGGAAAGGTGAAGGTCCATTCATTGTCCTCATTTTTATATATTTTCTATTACAATGTAGGTTCTGCCGTCAGTTAGTATAGATCCTGTTACCAAGAAGAAGGACAATAATGCTGTTCTGTCATTAGCGTGTAGCAGTGAAAGTACACCTAGTGACACTGAAAAGGTATGAGCTAATTACTCCAATTACTCACGACCATATGTACCTACAAGTACATGTTACATATCAGACACACACACATTATAGTTCAGTAATACATTAAGCTTTACATGTACAGATATATTACATTACTTACTACATATGTGTCTATCCATCAAGTCTACATTCTCAAGGGTTATATGAGTATTGATATGTAGGGTACATACAAACATACCTTGATAGGGCAGCTCACATCCTGTCATGCCTGTCTGGGTCAACCTTGTACTAAGGGGATTTCTCCTTATTTTGTAGAATCCTAATAATGTAAATTTCATAAATTAGCACTGCCTGGCTTTCATTAGTGAGATTTGGGCTATCACTTGATAACATTTTAATCCAGTTATGACGCGGATTTGCTGACGTACGTGTATGCGTGCATTTTAAAGTCCATATAGTACAGTGGGTATAATATGTGAATGTTGATTATCCTCAGGCAACAAATACCACCTAATCAATGAAAGCGGTACACACCTGTATTATATCAATGCGTGTGTGTGTGTGTGTGTGTGTGTGTGTGTGTGTGTGTGTGTGTGTGTGTGTGTGTGTGTGTGTGTGTGTGTGTGTGTGTGTGTGTGTGTGTGTGTGTGTGTGTGTGTGTGCATGCTCTGCCTGATGTGTGTTTGTGTAGTGCAGTTGTACTATGTCATCAACATGTCTTTAAACTAAAAATCATTTTATGTTTTGCATTTTTTCTAAAGTTCAATAGTTCAGGAGTGTAACATGATAGATCAACTCAATATGCCCTGGTGGGAAAAGAGGGAGGCAATCATCTCTCTTTCTCTCCTCCCTCTCCTCTTTATATCAAAGCTGTCCTTATGTTACGTGTGTGGTTGATTGTAGATACAGTAATGTCATCCACATGTGATTGCCAATCGTGCCGTAATTATGAATAATGAAATTGAATATATTTTTTAATTGTGTTACGCGTACCTCAAACGAAATATTGATAATAATTATTGTTTATTGCATAATTTAATGCATAGTAACATCTCTTTTTGTTGAGGTTATGGCTCTCACTAGTTTTTCCTGTCCTCAATTTTTGTGGTCAGTGACTTGTCAGGTTTTATTCTCATGCGTGTACATGTACATGTACATACGTACTAATGTAATTATATTTGATACACCCTCAATCAGACTGGCTTCATTTCAATCAGTCAAGAATGATGTAGTCAACAATTTGTGGAGTATATGTACATTAATGTGTATGTGTGTGGCTGTGAACCAGGCTGCATAGCTTTAGCCTCTGGACCCATTACTTACTTCCGCTTGATGAAAGATAAGCATGCCTTGTCTAATGTATCTAAAAGTGTTTGCATGCTTTCATGAATAAGGAAAGAAGAATGGTGGAGGAGTCTTATATTTTGGGCTAGAGTATAGATTAAGTCTACTCTTGGTAATGGATGATTATTAAACAAGCTGAGACACGATATGTGTTTTAAACTCTGTACCTGTTATGATCATTATCACATCCTTATGTCACTAATACTTGATGTCATTTGATTGAGAGAGAGAGAGGATAAAGAGAGAGGATAGATTAAGAAGACACCAAAGTTATAGTGACCACAGAGACCCCAAATTATTAATACTCACCGCAAGCACTAGATATGTAATAGATGATATAACTATTTATCCTATTAATGCAAAACAGCTTGTTTTGAGGTGGTTCCTTATCTCATGCTCCCTTGTCTAATAATTAGAACTATCATGACGTGTTTACTTTGACTAGCCAGCGAATCTATAGTTACCTTAGTTACTGTTTTCAGTTTGCCATGGAGACCAACAGGTTGTCCTATGATGTCAGACGACCTTGTTTTAATTGTATTTTCAGTCATTGCCAAGACAATGACCATGTATGATAATGGCATGTGAGGAATTTGTTAATTAATTGGTGTTTTCATTGTCCACAGTGCGCATTCATGGCTTCCCTATTTGAATAAGAATGAATAAATTTTAATTATAATATTGGATAATCAAAACTTTTTATAGCTCATTCCTTTAGTGCTAAAGCTTGAATCAACCTTGAATAATTTAGTACCCATTAATGTACACTAGTTGTTTAATTGCTGTAGTTTAACTTCAATCCTATTCGTACAAATCAAGGCATTATATACTAAAGAGATTCATACTTGTACAAATATTTAATGTATGCACATGATGTTGGAGATAACAAATGAATGATGTGATGCTGATAAATGGTGCCTTCATTCTTGCACAACCATCTCTAGTATGATAATTCCTTCTAAGTATGATAATTCCGTAGTAAGAGAATGTAGCAACAGTGTGGTATTTATGGAGAGTAAGAGTACATACTGTATGTGCAGGTACAAAATAGTTTGCATGGCCTAAGGCATAATAAGTAATCCAATAGCAGAATAGTCTCACTACCTGCTAAGAGTGAGTGAATAAGAATTATAAATGGCTGGTGAGCAATGAATAGCAGTCAATGGGCCACTTGTGCCTTTGTGAAACTAATTTGGCCAGGGGCTATCAAAACACTGCCACCACTAGTGGTAGTCATGCCTGCTTGGAATGGGTAGAAATGTTATTTTAAAAGGCACCAAGTGTCTGCCTCTTTCCCTCTGTACCCTCACTCATTATTTCTTTCTCTCTCAGAATAGAAAACCACCATAAGATCACAACCCAGGATATTAGTAGTTTTATACTGTATCAGAGTGCTATCAATATGTATTCTATAGAATGTACTGCCTTTATAAATTCATTTGTTGCTAGGATAACACTGAAAGACTGTGTGGTGAATGCACCTGTACTTTAAAATGAGGGGGGACTTCCCTGCTTCATTCCCCTTCTCCCTCTTTCTTTCTCTTTTCCAGCCTCCTTGGCTCCGATCTCTCACAATTTCTAAGAACTGCCTGCCTCTGGTTTCTAGTGGCTAGTAAATCTAGCAGGGAACTAATGTACCTCATAAAATCCCCATCCATTTCTTTATGTAACTTATATGATTATTGTAGTACATGTGTAAGTGTATCTGTTCTTATAGTATAGTATATTGTAGAATTGAATTCTTTTAGTCTGTTTTCCGTTGTTGAGATTCTAGTAAATAATTGTTTCTTTTATGTAGTCATGATGCTATTCAGGCATCATTCATAGGCCCACGCTGCCCCAGTCTGTCTTATCAGTCTTAGCGAGTGTTTCTCTGCGTGTTCATGAAGCGTGTCATCGCAGTGTTGCTTATGTTTTCTCTTTGTTATATTTATTAGTGTGTGTTTACCAGTTGCTTCTCTCTAGTGTTAGATCGTTGGGACTCATCTGGTGACAAATTGTATACACATTGTTGTTCCCTGTTGCATTATGCATCCAGTCAACCAGCAAACACTCATCATCATCTGATCTAACTTGTATACAATACGCGTATACCATAATTACTAAATATAATAATATAATTTTCACAACAATAACAGCAGGAGTTTTCAGTATTGGCAATGCATAAGGAATGTGGATAGCTTTCTGTAAATAACTAAGAAGAGAGAGAGAGAGTGTGTGTGTGTGTGTGTGAACTGTGTATAGGTTATAAAGTTAATTAGTTGACTTAAAAGAAATGCATATACGTATGGCTTTCTTTTTACTAAATTCATTCTTGCATATTTTTCGATAAAAATGCGGCCAAAAACACACATTGATTGTAAGCTTTTACCAAAGCCTGGTTTATGTGTCCTTCGATGTTGTGTACGTTTATTAACTTTCAGTATCGTAAAAATGTCCTCTCCCAACTCTCCAAAAACTAATTGTGTTTTTAACAACAGATCATAGAGCGACACTTTCACAAGATTGGGTATGTCACTTTGTTGAGTCATATTTGGGAAGAAGTTCCTTCAATCTCTCTGTCACTATTTTTATTGACTGTCCCTGTTTCAGTTTTCTACAATACCGCCTCAGTTTGTGATAGTCTGCTTTCATTTTTTGCTTGCGCCTTAAAGTGTTTTGTACTAATTATATCCTTCCCTTCCCTTGTACCTCTTGATAAATGCATTTTTAGTGATTTCTATTATTAATATTATAATGTTATTATTATTATCATATTTATAGTGTGTGTTTTATATATCTATAATTGTTATCAGTGATGGTACGAGAATATATTTAATAGTTTCAAGATGCTATTTGTCTCTCTTATCTCTCCATATTTTGTCTATTTTTTATCTCTTATCATTTTGACCACTTACTCACTCATTCCTATACACTAAACTAACTTTTGTCTTATTATATTTATAACAGCCTTTCATCCCAACTACTCCTCATCAAGCCATCAGACTAGAAGGAAAGGTCTACCTACCAATATCACCTCGGACTTCTCCTCCCCCTCTCTCTCTCCCTGTTCTCTCAAATGAAGCTGAAAGGACGAGAAAGACTCATTTTTCTAACGACGTCTCTTTGGATCAAGTCCAACAAAAAGCACAATCACATATTAAAGGACAAGCTCAGGAGTGGTATGTAACAGGACATCTATTCCATGCATCAAAAACATGTAACCATGTACTAATCATGTACCAGCAAATGTAATTGCACATGTACATGCATTACACATGTCTAAGGTATGTAGTACATGCTGCATTTCTTAATTAAAACCTTTGTGTGTATACATTATGACATGTACAACATGTGCATGTACTTTTCCTTGAATTTCTATTCATCCCATTCACTATTCATTCAATCTATTGAACCGCCTTATTTTGATCGTCCTATTCATCCTTTGGACTTCATGTTTTGTGCATACATTCAACCATTGAACTGGCCATCAATGGATTCAGCCAGGGCATTGACTTTATTGAGCTATCCTCATCTTCTCTCTCTCTCTCTCTCCTTTCTTCTCTCCCCTCTCTCTCTCTCTTTCTCTCTCCCCCCCTCTCTCTCTAGGGCTAAACATGAGCTCTTAGTTCAGTTATTGTCTAGTCTCAGAGACAGCAATGTCTCCTTGGCTTCCTCTTCCTCTTCTCTGTCACATTCCCCTCGGCAATCTGTTGCCAGGGAATCTGATAACGTTGCCAATCTAGTTAAGGAAATTTTGTTACAGGAAGCTCTGAGCTTATATCATCCCCTGGAAGACTCCGAGACTAAAGAGGAAGAGGAGGAAGAGGAGGAAGGAGGGGAAGGAGAGGATTACAGTGACACTTCATTTGAAAGTGAAGTGATCACACCATTATCCACCCCATCCCCCACTCCTCCTTCCTCTCCGATCGTCATTCCCAAGGAAGCCACACCCATCATACACACCCCTGAGTTGACTCCTGTTGGCTCCTTGACAATCTCACCAAAGGAAGAGGAAGATGAACTCATTACACCCCAGGTATGCTGCTATTTGATTTTTAGCATGATTATGAATAGAAAATGAATTTAGTGGGTTGTTGTTAGTTTGAAATTGCAAACAACGTTATGAATGAGACTAATTTAATAACAAAATTGTAATGATAAAACAAGCTAATGACATTATGTATTTGAGAGGCTTGGGCTTTATTGGATTAGTGGATTAATATGGCATTGCAATTGTTGCTTGGTTAGTTTTCAGTTTTCTCTCTCACTCTTTCTCAGGGATCTCCTAATTCTCAATCTTCTATCACTTATGATAATTCTACTGTGTCTCATAAATCAACGACTAGTCATGCATACGAAGTACTAGCTGATACATCGTATGCCACCCCCACACCAACAGTCATCTCACTCCCTAATGACGCCAAAGAGAAAGATATTATTGTGGAAGAAGAAAAGTATGTTAGACATATTTTGTATTTTGTTTGTCAGTTTTTTAAGATAATAATTTTTGTAAATTACTCATATTGAGAGCCACAGGATTTGGGCATATAGTGCAGGCCGGGTTCTTGTCAGTCGATTTTAAAATTGTTCGAAAATTGCTAGGAGAAAATTTTTATTTTTATGATTCTAAAAAATATATACATGTACTTATGTTGTGTAGCAAGTTTGAGCTGATTTTGAGATGTTTTATATACGAATTAAGAAAAACCAGTCATACAGTAATGTATTTATTGTCTCTTCCTTTAGACCAGAAGTTCCCGAGTCTGTGACAGACTCCTCCTCTTTCTCCTCCTCTTCCTCGCAGAATAACACCCACAGTAAAGTACTGGTAACTAGTGATAGCAGTGTCACTACTGATAATGATATATCAGTAGGGGAAAATTTAAGGTATGTCGAAATAATCATTTAATTGTTCTTCGTACATAAGAAAATTAAAATATTTAAAGCATAAAAAATAATGATTTACATGTAAATATATATAATATCTACAACTAGAAATTTTCCCCTGTTGCTAGGTCGTTGCTAGGTGCTGTCCCACCTCAGCCGCCTACGGTTTGTAATGACGTATCACTGAGTGAAGGGGAAGTCCCTCTGTCACCTGGTGACACTCGCTGGAATGTATTTGTTGGTAATAGAGTCCAACAAACTAACCTTAGTACTGGTGAGTGAGTATTATGCTGCTGCTCTGTGTTGTTATTTTGGGAATTAGAAATTATTTTTCTTTTCATAATAATTATTTATACTAATAAAAAAATGATTTTTATTCTTTGTAGTTTGTCGCGTTACAGATCAATATACAGACAGCATGACAACTACCGAAGAGACTAATAAGGTGAGAGAGAGAGAGGTTTTTACTCTTGAAGTTGCTTTGAAATTGGTACATGGTAGTTTTTAATTGCTCTAAAATTTACCCCAATTTTTATTATATTTTCTGATACATATTGATGTAGTTATGCTATGTAGAAGTTTGAGCCGATTTCGACTTCAATTTTTCAAGTTATGACCATTTTTTAAATCTTCAAATTTTGCCTGTACTATAGCCCATGATTTTTTCCAAAAAATGGCTCCAAAATCACCCCCAATTTTTATTACATTTTCTGATACATATTGATGTAGTTATGCTATGTAGAAAGTTTAAGCCGATTTCGACTTCAATTTTTCAAGCTATGACCATTTTTTAAATCTTCAAATTTTGCCTGTACTATAGCCCATGATTTTTTCCAAAAAATGGCTCAGAAATCACCTTCAATTTTTATTACATTTTCTGATATATATTGATGTAGTTATGCTATGTAGAAAGTTTGAGCCGATTCCGACTTCAATTTTTCAAGTTATGACCATTTTTTAAAAACATCAAATTTTGAAAAAATACCCTGTACTATAGCCCATGGTTTTTTCCAAAAAATGGCTCCGAAATCACCCCCAATTTTTATTACATTTTCTGATACATATTGATGTAGTTATGCTGTGTAGAAATTTTGAGCCGATTCCAACTTCAATTTTTCAAGTTATGACCATTTTTTTAAAAACATCAAATTTTCAAAAAATACCCTGTACTATAGCCCATGGTTTTTTCCAAAAAATGGCTCCGAAATCACCCCCAATTTTTATTACATTTTCTGATACATATTGATGTAGTTATGCTGTGTAGAAATTTTGAGCCGATTCCAACTTCAATTTTTCAAGTTATGACCATTTTTTTAAAAACATCAAATTTTCAAAAAATACCCTGTACTATAGCCCATGGTTTTTTCCAAAAAATGGCTTGGAAATCACCTTCAATTTTTATTACATTTTTTGATACATATTGACGTAGTTATGCTATGTAGAAAGTTTGAGTTGATTCTGACTTCAATTTTTCAAGTTATGACTATTTTTTTAATCTTCAAATTTTACATGTACATGTACATAGTTATTTTTGTTAGTGATACATCAGAATATGCAATTGTCTGTTATATTTAGTCATATATATATTTTAGTCCATGCATGGTGTCTGGCCAAATTTTAAAAAGTTTAACTTAAAACATTGTGATTGTTCACATGCAGTTGTGGCTTTAGCCTTCTCTTCCTCTTCCTCTCCAGGAATCCATAACGCCATTCCAGCTAAATATATTGACTCCTGGTTTTCCAATGCAGCCTTCTCTTCTCTCCTTTCACCATCATCCTCCTCGTCATGCTGCTACTGCTTTCATCTCAACTCCTTTTAATAACAATGAGCGATCTTCTAAAAGAGGAACAAGTAAAGAAGCTGTAGCTGATATTAAATCTACAAATGACAATGCTATTATGAGTAGCGGCTCTAACAATAATGATGATGATACTTTGGCCCATGTTCCTTCGCTCTCTGACGAACCTCACTCGTTAAATAATCAACTAACTCCTCCTCCTTTATCACCAGGAGAAGTGCCCTGCCCTCACTCAAGGGGCAAGGTGGCTACAGGCTCTCCCCAACTCTCCGAAGGAGAAGTCCCAGTTTTTACTCATAAAAAAAGCAAAAAGACAAGAGAGGGGACAGTTGTTATTAATTTGTCGCGTAACAGAAAAAGTGACAATTCTAACGACGGAGCTCAAGTTGTTCGAGTAGCTCCTGTTAAAAAGTCTGTTTCATTGGCCACACCTTCACAGCCTCAGTGGGTCTCCCAAAGTGTCTTACGTTCCTCTTCTAAGTCTTCGTTGCCAAGAAAACCGTACGATAGAATTGCTGATCCAGACCCAGTATTTAATATTTCTTCAAGGGGTCCTGTGATGATATTGGATACTGATAATGATCATAATGCATCGTCTATAGATTCACTAACATTGACTTGATTATAGGACAAAAATAGCAACCATATATATATTCACTTTATTTTATGTTATTTTATTCAAAAAAAATTAATAATAATTAAAAATAAAATAAAATTAAAAATTAAGGCATGTGATGTCATAGTTAAACTCGGAAGTGACATCACTTAATTTCCAACCACGTGTGTCATGGCTGATGTAATGGATGAAGATTCCGGCTCTGATTTTGGTGACTGGAGCGGATTAGAGGACGTAAGAGGAAGAGAGAGATCATTTAATGAGTATTGAATTATGTTAGGATGATGATGAAGACATTATGTTGTATGGAGAAGAGGAAAAGGGTACAAATATTACCACATCTGATGTGAGTCTCCATAGATATAATAATAATTATTATCATTTGAGGTCTCTAATTAGGTATCAGATTTCATGCAAAGGATCGGGCTTTCCTCTTGCATGTCCCAGCCTGATTGGGGGAGCTGGCCAGCCCAACCCAGCAAAGATAAGAAGAAAATGAAGGAAATTATTAACCCTCGTCCAGCTAAAAATAAAAAAGAATTAGCTCCGCCCATCAGCAATGGAAAACTAAAGAAGAATAAATCAACCATTCCAGTTAAGAAAGAGGTTATCCATCTTGTCAATGGAAAGCAGGAAAAACTAGCTTCTGAAGCAAAGAAGAAAAATGCTCTTAAGATGAGGAAAGATGCACCTGCTCTCAAGCCTAGGAAAAGAAACAATGAAGTGAAAGAACCATCCTCCACTGGTGTTAATGCAGAGGCAGCCCCTGTAATTACTCCTGATGATATAAAGAGCAGCATGTCAATCAATGTTAGTGATGAATTTCTGTGAAGCATTATTATTTTTTTTTTCTGATAGGCTACAGAGGGTGGGACTGTAATGAACATGGCGTCAAAAGAATTAGAGGATAGATTATTGAAGCTGGAATTTAAGGAACACTCTAAGGTCCTGGTTCCAATGGAGATTGATAAACTATGGCACGAAGAGGTTAGCAATTACTGTAGCACTGAGTTAGCCTTTATACCTTCCTCTCCCCCCTCTCTCTCTCTCTCTCTCTCTCTCCTTTCCTCCTGTATAATGTTACCATAGTCTAATTCTGATAACGGCACAGTAGTAGTATCACAGCCAGTGCTAGATCATGTGCTCTCTGTGGCTGGTCAAATTATGACTTGTGAATTGAAGCTATACAGACAATGTAAGGAGGAGGAGGAGGAGGAGTGGGTTTTGTTGATGTAGTTCATTTATAGTGAGGGAGAAGAAGAGAGGCCGGGACGTCCAATGGCTCAAGACTGTTCTCTCCTCTGGGACTCTTAACGATAAGATGGCCGCCATGACCCTTCTCATTCAAGTAATTATTATTGTTATTGTTGTTGTTATTGTTGTTGTTGTTATTGTTGTTATTATTATTAGGAGTCTACGGTACATTCTCTCTCCACTATTGATTTCTTTATAGCAATGAGCAAGAAACGTAGCAAAAGGGAAAATCTACTTGCCATCGGTATGGTAATGATGATATATGACATACCCAGATTTATAAAATTGTGTTTAAAAATGTCATTTTGTATTTCAGATCATTTTAAAGATCTTTTGATTTCTGATGTCCTTCCAGAGTCTCGTAAGCTAAAATACATTAAACAGCGTCCACTTGATAAGTTAATTGATGGTGATGGGTGTGGTCCTGTAACATTTGATCCTCGAGTTCTCTTTCTGTGGCACTTTGAGCATCAGTTGAAGACCAAATACTGTCATTTCGTAGAACTACTGAAGGTTATTAAATCACGTGTATAATAGTGTAACTAATAGTATAATTTGTTTCTGTGTTTTAGGAGCTTTTGCATGACCCTGTTGCTGAAATTAGAGAGAAAATAACTGGTACTTGTTACAAAAAGAATCCTACATTTTATTCCACCTTCTCTCTCTCTCTTTCTCTCTCTCTTTCTCTCTCTCTCTCTCTTTCTTTAGGTGTTGTTTTTGATCTTTTATATCACAGACCAGAGCAAGAGCAAGTAAAACCATCTGCTTGTTCCCTTTCTTCCATTGTTACTTTTTATTGTTTAGCTATTGTTGAAAATACTTGTCAATAAGTTAGGCGATCCCAACAGAAAAATTGCATCGAAGTGCATTCTATTGTTGCAGAAACTTTGTATGTTCATCTTGTTAATTTTTTGTCATTTTTGCCTCTTCTTATCTCAGTGACTCAGCATGTGAACATGAAATTGATTGTTGTTCGTGAGATTGAATCACTTTTATATCGACCAAACATCTTATCAAAAACACAGTTAGTACAATCACTATTGAATTCAATCCACTCCTAACTTATTCCCCATATAGATATTACTGCATTTGTTTCCTCAATCAAATCGTCATTGGTCCTTCTGATCAACTCCTCCCACAGAAGCTGGTATCACTTTACTTTAGTTTCTTCAAGTTTTATGTCGACAAGAACGACTTTGATGCAAAAATATTGAGTGCACTGCTAACTGGAGTGAACAGGGCGTTGCCCTTTCTGAAGAGTTAGTATATGAAAAATTGTGAAAAAAATCTTTTTTTAGCTTTTTTGGTATATAGTATAATTGTCGTCATTGTTATTTTTAGGTGACGTTCCATCGTTTGATGATCATTTAAATTCATTATTCAAGATATCACAGATTGGCCCATTGGCCACCAGCATACAGTCCCTCACTCTCCTTTATCAGGTCATGGAGAAAAGGACTTCGGTCTCTTCTCGGTTTTATCGGGCATTATATAGAAAACTGAGCAACCCCCAATTAAGTACACGTACGGGTCAACAGGTAGGTGTGGTTATGGGTGTGGTTTTTTTGGTTTTAGAGTTTTAATTTGTAGGCCATGTTTTTGAATTTGTTGTTTAAATCTTTGAAAAGTGATCCTGAGTTGAACCGTAATAAGGTACTATACATTGTTCATAGTGTACGTGGTGACGTTACATGTGATACATGTATTTCTATAGGCTTACATGAAGCGTATCCTACAGTCATGTGACTATCACATGCCTCATTATGTGTGTGGGTGTCTACTGATTTTATCTGAAGTATGTTTAGTATTGATTATTCTTTTTCTTCTTATTATTTTTTGAATCTGCTCGTTCTCTTCCTTGCGAATCAGGTTCTTAAAGTGAAGCCGTTTCTTTGGCCGTTCGTTTTACAATCTGATCCTGACGAGAAATTTAAGGATGTTCCTGAAGATCTTTCAAGACATGAAAGAGAGGACTCTGAAGCTGAGGGAGAGAGAGAAGAGGAGGAAGATGAAGAAGATAAAAACACAGAAATTTACAGCTTGACAGCAAGAGACCCATCCTATTGTAAAGCAGAACTAACCACTTTATGGGAACTAACGAGAGTAAATAAAAAATTAACAATTAAATAATACAAAAATATTATTTAATTCTTATTTTTATTATTTTGTTGTTTCTAGTTGACTCATCACTATCATCCTTCAGTTCAAGCGTTTGCAACTCAATTGGCATCTGTGAGTTCCTTTTGACCACACCTACTCACCACACCCATTTTAGGGGAATGCTATTTTATATGACGGCGATCCTCTCAGTGATTTTACAATTATCCGGTTCCTGGATCATTTCGTGCACAAGAACCCTAAACAAAAATCTTCTGACCATGGGGGGTCGCTTATGCAGGTATTTGGAAATTTTGGCAATTTTTTAAATTTTTTGTTTAAAGCCAACGGGTAGCTTGATAAAAACTGAAGTGTATACTCTACCAGGTAAGGGGTGGGGTCTGTTTGTTGCTATGGTAACGTAATCGCAGGGTCTATTTCTGAACTGGCAAAGATGAATGAGAACGAAGTTAGAAATGACCTTCAGTTTATACACAAGTGAGACAGCAGTAGTTAATAATTTTAAAATCATGATCTCTCTCTCTCCCTCTCTCTCTCTCAAGGTTTATGAGAAGAGATGTTGAGATGCATAAAGTTGATCCGACTAAAGCCACAAAGCTGAGCAGGAGAGAAAGGAAGAGGAAAAAGAGCAAAGATACCGCCCTACTTTCAGACAAGGAGGACGAAGAGATTGAAGAAACTGCTGATTTTGCTAGGTAAGACAATCTAAATTTCAATTTATAGCAGCTATGGTTTCCAACACATAATCAACATTATTATTATTATTATTATTATTATTATTATTATTATTATTATTGTCACAGTGAGTTTAAGAAACAAGTTGAGAATGAAAAGAAAAATAAGAAGAAAAATGTTAAAAAGAAAAAGAAAGCTTCCAGTGACAATAGCGAAGACAGTGCATCAGAAGGTAGTGCATTCTAATTGATCAACTATGAATAATTAATTAATCTATGAATAATTAATTAATCTATGACTATATAATTAGGTGATTACAGTGACATGAGTTTTAGTGACTTTGAGGATAGCATGGACGACGTTTCTGATGAAGAGGAGGAGGAGAGAGGAAGAACTAAGAGAAAGAAGAAGGAAGACCTCGACCAAATGGAGAGACTTTTATTGGATAACCTTTCATCTTCCGATGAAGAGGGTGGAGATGATGTGACAATGAATAATAAAAGAGGAAGACAGAAAGAGGATGAGATGGATTTCAATAACAAATCAAAGAGGTAGGCTCTATACTGTAGTCCATAGTACCTATTTTTGAGCCTCATGTTTTACCTTATAAGTCAAAAATTTGTGGCTGGAATTGACTTAAGAAACAGCTTACATGTACCTTTTATCTCCTTTTATTAGGACAAAGAACAGTTCCGTGTTCGCATCAGCTGAAGAAGTATTTCTTATAATTTTAGCTACTAATTTTTTACTATTTTGCTTAGTTTGCTCATCTCCTTGAAGGCTCCGATGAAAAAAGAAAGAAGTCGAAAGAGAGCAAGTGGGAGGAATTAAGATCTTCTGACTATCGGGGGAGTGGGTTCAGAAGAGGCCAAGGAGGAAGAGGAAGAGGAAGAGGGAGAGGAGGAAGGGAAGAGAGAGGAGGAAGAGGAATGGGGAGGAGAGAAACAAGTAGAGGAAGAGGAGGTTTCAGAGGACAGCAACGAGGAAGAGGAGGAAGGGAAGAGAGAGGAGGAGGAGGAATGGGGAGGAGAGAAACAAGTAGAGGAAGAGGAGGTTTCAGAGGACAGCAACGAGGAAGAGGAGGAAGAACTAGAGGGGGAGGGAGAGGAGGAAGGGAAGAGAGAGGAAGAGGAGGAGGGAGGAGAGAAACAAGTAGAGGAAGAGGAGGAGGTTTCAGAGGAACTAGAGGACAGCAACGAGGAAGAGGAGGAATCGGGAGAGGAAAAGGGAAGGGAGGAAGAGGAGGGCAGAGGAAAGAAGTAAAATCTAAAGGGAGATATTTTTCCTGATAATTAATTTATTATTTAATTTTATTTAATATTCATTGTTAATTTTGTAAATTAAAAATGTCTTCCACATCTGTAATGATTCGACTTATTTCTGCTTCTGTTTGTGCCGCTAATAAATCTGGAGCCATCATCAGAGAAGTACTGAAAACAGGAGAGCTGGGCATTGTCCAGAAAGTAGGTTCAAGCCCAGGATCAATCATCTCAGTAATGACCTTTTACTGTGCTTTCTCCTCCCCTTTAATGATAGGGTGTGAATGATCCTCAAACAGAAGCTGATAGGAGAGCTCAGAGATGCATTTCAGCCACCATTCAAAGTAGATTCCCTGAAATCAACCTGATCGGTGAAGAGGTACAGATATGTACACTAGAGTCAACATAATGAATGATGCATGCAGCAATCTTACAAAAATTAACATTAAACATTGTACAACAATATCTATAGGATGTTGCAGTTGAAAGTGATGACTATACATTGGTCAAACCCGACGAAGAGAGTGACGATGTCTTAAAAGAGACGTGCCCTCCAGATTTAGTAAACCTTAAAGAAAATGACGTAATTTACAATAATGTTAATATTTTATTTGAAACGCTACCTTTGTTTAGTTGACGGTGTGGGTCGACCCTTTGGATGGCACAAAAGAATTCACTGAAGGTAGAGATCTACTGCAGATTAATGTGTATGCACTGGGTATTTTGCCAGAAATGAAAAGGAGCGAATTCTTTATTTTTATCATTTTCCTGATACATATATGTGTTTTTATATTGTGTAGCAAGTTTGAGCTGATTCCGATCAAAATTAGATTTTTTATGAATTTTTAAAGTTACTCCAAAATTGGGCGAAATTCCCTAAACTATTATAGTACAGGGTGTTTGGCCAAATTTTGCCAAAAATGACTAGGAGACAATTCTCCATTTTTATAATATTTTCTGATACATATACATGTTCTTATGTTGTGTAGCAAGTTTGAGCCGATTCCGATTGAATTTGGATTTTTTATGAATTTTTAAAGTTGCTCCAAATGCCATGTATTGTATTGTAGTACTTTTCAGCTTATGAAACATGCTTTGTGGGAAGAACTGTACAGTATTAATAATATAAAATTCTTATGATGCTTAGCTTGTAGCTGTGAGAATATTGCCCATTTTGATAGGTTTCCCTGAACATGTGACTGTATTGATTGGTATATCGTATAATGAAAGACCAGTGGGTGGGGTCATTCATCAACCGTTCTACGGACCAACAGGACGTACAGTATGGGGTCTAGTAGGAGGAGCAGTGAAGGGTATGACACCAGTGGCTTCAGGGGACCCTGGAGAGAAGCTAAGTGAAGGAGGACTGAGGATTGTCGTTACTAGATCACACATGAGCCAGACTGTTAGGGACGCTGTTGATGCTTTGAATCCAAAAGAGGTAATGCTGATATTAATACTGATATTAATACTGATATCGATACTGATATTAAGATACTGTTGATATACTAACACTGATATTAGTACTATTGATATGCTAATATTAATACCACTAATTATATTGATGTTATACTTTGGCAGACTTCCCTTGAAGGCATGTTATTCTTAATAGTGTTTTGACTAGGAATATTATTTTGCATTTTTTATGCAAGTGTCTCTTTCAGCCTTTAGTCCAGTAGTAGTGATATCAGCCTTTCCTTTGAGATGCATGCCAGAAACAACTCCACACAGTCAAAATAATAATTATTATTTAACTATCAAAACTGGCAGCCATAGCATCACATGATTCTTATCATCTACTCACTTCCTCAGTAGCAGTCAACCTTATACTCAAAATGTAGGGCAAACAACTCTAGCCTGTTTCTGAATATAAAGGTCAAATTTATAAAAATTTTAAGGACGTTGATTTACTTGAATATAGTCTATTAGACTTTGCCTAACAAAAACATGACGAGCCATCAACATGGTGTTGTTATCCTTCACTCCCACACACACACACACACCATATCACTATTACAGCTACTATTAAGTCACACACACACAAAAAATAAAAATTGTATTTTATAACATTACATCACCCAATCACTAATGATATTCACATTTCCATCATCATCATCATCATCATCATCATCATTATTATTATTCATTTATCAATAGGTATTACACGTTGGAGGCAGCGGCAATAAGATCCTCATGGTATTAGAAGGAGCAGCTGATGCTTACGTGTACGCTAGCACTGGAACCAAGAAATGGGACACTTGTGCAGCAGAAGCACTTGTAATGGCAGCTGGCGGTAAACTGACAAACGTTCATGGCTCCCACCTCCTCTATAACCCAACACAAATTATGAACAGCAAGGGAGTTGTCGTTACTATGCGTGGGCATGATGACCTCATTGCTAGGATACCGTCACCTGTCAAAGCTAAATTTTGCTAACTTCATGAAGAAGAATGATTAGGATACCTTTAAATTTATTTTTCACATATTTATTATTATAATAGCATATTAGGGAAAACTTTGAAAAAAATAATAATTAATTTGCAAAAATCATCAATCTTAATATGTAATTGACAAATTCAGCAATTAAGATGTTACACTAATAATAATAATAATAATAATAATAATAATACATGTAATAATTGGCAAAAATTATAGAATGAAAAGACACAGAAAAAGCAACTATAACAAAGAGCATGCTCAGTGCATCAATAATTAGAACTAAAATTAAATCAACAAAAAACAATATAGATAATAATATATATACACTTGGCTAATAAAAATATATTTTCATGCGTGGAAGAACAACGGTTTGCGTGCGTGCTTGCATATATGTTAGTGTGTGTATGTATTGCAATCTTGTCCATTTAACCAAAGAACTCCTGAGAGGCGTAGACCATGTAGAGGAACCCGTCCTCGTCTTTCTCTGTGTCATAAATATCACTCATAGTGGTGGCCATGCTGGCCATGCTCTTATTGTTGACTAAGAGATAGAAGGCCTGTGTGCTTGTAAGTCCCATTCGATTTCTAAATGACAAAAAAATAAAGTAAGGTGATACTGTTATGAATTTGTGATGGCCAATTATACTGTGTTATGCATTCCTATCAATTGATGCTAGAATTTATACCATAACAACTGACACATGGTGAAAGCTTTTATGCATGGCTTGTTAACGAAGAGAGAATGACAAACAATCGTTCCCCTCTTTTTACAAGTACAAGAAACAATTTACCTGATGATAGTCACAAACTGACTAAGTGTCAGCTCCTCTGGGACAAGAAACTTGGTCTTGTCTAAGATTGGTAGGTCCTTCTCTTTCTGATATCGCTCAACGATAACTGGGACTTTGTTGGGGAACTTAGATCTGATGCTAGCGACCTCATCCTTTCGACTAGCTACATGAGGAAATAAGAAGGAAAGAGGAACATAAAAGGTGAGTAGAAATGCTTAGGACAGCAGCACCTGCCTGTCATCAGCCACCCTCCCTAACAATGCATGTAACAAGCTCAGCAGCTGACAATAAATGAGATTCATGCCTCAAGCTATATTCATTATCCCTTGTCTAACTTTGTTCTGCCAACTAATTCCGTTACGTGTCATTTGTGCAATTCTGACAGTCAAGCACATTTGTGTGTGGAAAGAAGCCAAAGGGTTTGGTATGAATAATGTCAACTTGTTGTGAACTTATGCCAAAAATAGATATTAGAGAGAGAGGAAGGGAAAAGAAAAAGGGGAAGCCAGAAACAAGGTGGTATAGCCATTACCACTACTAAGGGTAGGCAGCTGATTAATTGCTTTGTGTCAGAGAGGCACCCTTTGAAGGCAGACAAGGATTACATAACCAGACACACCACACACTAATTCAGTAGCAGCAAGCTGTTTGTTAGATTACAGACACCAATGGATGAGTTGATGAGGCCATGTTGTCTTTGTTATGCTAAAACATACACAATACAGTACCACAGGGTTAATAATCCCACCCTCTCATCACTGATAAAAGAAAAGGATACAACCACAACCAGCTCTTTCATCTCTTCCTTAATTATATTAACACTACTGTATCACACAAAATAAATAGGAAAAAAAGACTGAAATTTGACTAATATTAACATTATGCTCTAGATCTAGTTAATTTTATGTGCCTTTGCTAACTCAAACTCACCAAAGCTCCTCCTTTGCTTGAAGGACTTCTGTTTACTGGTCATTGGCTCAACTTCACTAGTACTCATTCTAATAAAAAAGGAAGAAAAGAGGGAGGGAGAGAGAGAGAAATTCAAAAGAGGAGAAACGAGAAAAATGCTAAAATTAACAAGATACAAGCGAGGACAAACAATACACATTCGCGTATTCTAACACAAAACCATGATGTTAAAAGGGCGGTAAAGTAAAGCAACTTACTTATATTTAGGTGATAGACTTGTCTTAGAGAATGGCAAGAAGGAACAGCGAACAAACTAATAACGCAATGCACAGCAAAGGTCAGGCCAGTGACACTGATGATGCCAGTTTATAAGTGGTAGGCGGAGAGAAATTTACACTTTTGCGTCAACATGTTCTGCGCATGCTCAGAACGTGGTTATCTATAGTCTAGCCACGCCTTACAAATTAGACTATTCCCGCGTACTCGATTTGTGCATGCGCAGATTGATCTGACACGTGTAATAAGTATCACACCCAAAGTGTCATGGCGTCGTATAGAGGAGGCCAGCAGGGTGGCGGATACAACAATAGAGGGAGAAGAGGAGACGGGGGGAGAGGAAGAGGAGGCGGTGGAAGGGGAGATAAAAGAAAAGTGAGCTGTAAGTTGAAGAAAAAGCCACATTGCACGTTATAATGATGTGTATTGATGAAGTTCACAGCCAACATGATGACAGATGGGATGATGGTCCTTCTTCATCTGGAAACGATGACTACAGGAGTTCTAACAGAGGCTACAGAGGTGGAAGAGGAGGACGAGGAGGAGGAAACAATGATCAGGGTCGGTGGACTAGAGGAGGTGGACCAAGGGGGCGTGGACGAGATCGCGGATACAATGACCGAGAACGTGAAGATTACGGTAACGAAAGAGGTGGCTTTAAGTCTTTTAAGGGAAAGAACAGATAGTAAGTCATTATAAATCTTTTTAATTATTAATTTATTATTAATAGTACTCCTTATGATAAAAGCCCACCTGGAGTTGGTGGAATGAGAAGTTCGGGCGGAGTTTTTGATAGAATTGGGCCGAGAGAGCAAAGAGGGCGTGGCTTTAATCGTGATCAGTCGGGCGGTCCTAGACGTGATGTTTTTGGTAGAGGACGTATGGGCAGTGACAACAGAGGGAGGGGCTGGAGAAATGATAGATACGTTGAGACGACTGGCGAAAGGAGAGTTTATAATAGAACGGATAGTGACATGATGGAGGAAGACAGCTCCAGCATATTACTAGTAAGCATGTGACTGTCATGTGATGTACATGAAATTCTGCAATATCAAGCTGTTTCTGACAAATTTTTTTTTGGTTATGAGCATTTTTAAAAACAGGCCAATATTTGAGCAAAGGCTATATAGGTCATGGTTTTTCCAAAATTTGGCTCTGAAATCACCTCAAATTTTTGTTACATTTTCTAATACACATTGATGATGAGCATGTGATTAGCACTCAGTTGACACTATGGTTGGCATGTGGGTTTTATGTATTTTTAGTATTCCTTGCCTTAGGGCATGTGATTGACATGTGTTGCCTTGTAATTATTATCTATTTTATTTGTAGAAAGTCCTAGGTCAAAGATATGATTCCATTACCATGTCTCTCAATCTTAGTGACATGTTTCATGATCCTAGTAAGCACTTTCTTTCTTGTAATGATGTCATCACGTTCCCCCCTCTCTCTCTTTTTCTCTCTCTCTAGCATTACATGAACATAAAATCCGTAGCTCGATGTTTGATGCTTCATTTGTTAATACTGTTCTTGATCTTGTTGCAACACATTGTCCTCAAGTATGTACATGTAATCATCATATATTACGTTCGTTCTCTTCTTCCCTTTTAGTTGGTTGCTCTTAATCTTAGTAACAACAGATTGCAAAGGCTTCAAGCTTATTCTAGTCTAAGAGACAAGTGCCCATCTATAGAGTCTTTAGATCTTTCAGGAAATGAAGTAAGTCACTATTTTTTATATCTATTATTCTCCTCCTTGCTCTTAGCTACACAGTCCTCAAGAGCTAGAGGCCATTGCCCCATTGCCTAGTGTGAAGTCCTTAATTTTAGAAGGGAATCCTTTCAGAGATCAAGAGTTCAGTTCTTATGCAAGCGTTGTCAGGAAGTACTTTCCAAATCTAGAACTGCTTGTAAGAAAGAAGAATAATAGAGCAATTTATTTATTTTTTGTCGCATAGGATGGGAAGCCATTACCTGATCCTGTTAAATTTGATCTACCAACCAACATAGGCACCATACCTCCTTCTCAGGTATCGTGTGATAATCATGTGATGGTCATGAGACTACCATGTGTCCTGTTATTTTTAGAAAGGCTATCTGGTCAATGAAGACATTAGATCACTTGTAGTCTCATTTTTAGAACAGTAAGGGACGCATGCTACATGACATTTTAATTGAAAATTTATATATATATTTTAGATATTTTTCCCTCTATGATGGTGAAACTCGAGATAAATTATTGGAGGCTTATAGTGATAATGTGAGTATATACTTGTAATTAAATGTTTTGTTCATTATCTCCTCCCTGTATTTAGGCTGTATTCTCTTTATCTGTTGACGTGTCTCCACAGCAAAGGTATGTGTGATACCGTATAGTGGGAAATTTTAGAGGGAGTAAAATTTGGCGAATTACTAAATTTTGGTTATTGGTGGATTTTAATTTGGCGAGTTAGTGGCCACGTGCCATTGAGCATGCGTATAATGGCTCAAAATGGCGGATTTTATTTTGGCGAATGGCTATCAAAACGCCAATTTCGCCTATACGGTAATCATTAATATATTCAATTACGTCATTTTAATTACAGGGGCCCACCCTTGCAGCAGTATATGTCATCTAGCCGTAATTTGGCGAGAGTCAATGATCCTGGTAAGCTAATGTATTTATTTAATTGTGCAATTTGTGATCTGACTAGGCAAACGGTCTTCTTTAATCAAACATGGCCGCATCGATATAGTTCAGTTTTTAAGACAGTTTCCGCAGAGCTGCCATATTTCTAGCTCTTTTAGTGTCGACGTCATGAAAGCTAATGTAAGCCGTTTCCTACAGAATTATTTATTCATTAACTTTCCCCTCTACAGCCAATGTGCACTGGTTTTAATGTGTACGGTCTATTTGGAGAAGGTAGATATTGTTATCATTATGTATTGCTATCGCCTTTCATTTTATTTTTCAATTTTCAGCTGGTAGGATGGACTCTCCTATCATTAGAGCTTTTACGAGAACTTTTGTTATTGTTGCAGCTGGAACAGGGTAAGTGGGTGTAACCTATCATTATTATTGTTGCACATGATGCTTACTTGGAGTTTCACTGTATTCAGTATATTGTGTCTAATGGCTGACTATGTCTCATTTCACATTACAATGATTCTTACTGACACTGGAAGTTCCTGTTATAGTATGCTTGAGCAGAAGAGTTGGGTAATAATTCAACTCTAATGAAGGACTTCCACTTACAATACATGTGTGGTGTGAGGTTTGCAACATTTGCAACTTCACCCTTCAGTATTGTGGAGTGCAACATAAGACTGGCTCTAGTCTCGTCTTGTGTTACACTCTGCAGAGCTGATGCAATGGATGGAGTTGCATGAAATTCATATAGCTTTATGATTAATTTGGCTTATCTCTAAGGAGGAGCCAGCAGTTTATTTAACCCACCCACCATTAATTGTTTTTTTGGTGATGCTCCATGTCATGAAACATCAGGAGTTATTAAATATTAATTGATAAAGACTGATCAGTTATTGATATGAATTCAATGTACATGTGTACAATAATGATGAATACTTATAATTAGAGTTTATTTGGTCAGATCTGGTTCTAATGAGCTTTCTATTGCCTGTTATTTTGCTACGAGTTGATTGTATTCACACTATTGGTCATGTTGCTGTCAGCAGGTACAATTCCACTTATAATGGAAAGGCCTTTCATTTTATTTTCTGCTTTAATATGGATACTCACGGCCTGCTCTTATGGGACTTGGAGGAGAAATATGTCTACTTTAGCTGCTGCTGTTATAAGATGGCATCTTCTTGTTATGGTTCTTTTCTTGTGATGTACCTGTTGACAGCAGCTGTTATTCATTTGTGTGATGATCGTACTTCAATTTGTGGAACAACAGGCAATAGAAAGCTCATGTATATCGACCATACTCAGTCGTTATATTGACGAGTTAATTTGAATTTGATTTATTATTTGTTATTTCGTGGGTGTGGCTAATGCTGACCTTAAATTGATTCTCCTCAGATGCAATGGCATCTTTTGAAATGAAAGAAAAAAATATTTTTATGACATTTTATTTATATTTAATGATACTATTACAATAAATGGATGGATGGATAGATGGATAGGTGGTGGAGGATTATTTTATTCTTAATCACAAATATTTGCAATCTATTCTAAAATGATTATTTTCTATTGGTGTAAAGTGTGACTCAAGAAGTGGTGGTAGTTTTTAAAGAAATATTTTTTTTGATTGGAGCACATGTATATACTGGTGATTTTGGAGGAAGAGTAAGACTCATGGCACATTGTAGCTCTTTTCTTGTGGATTTTAGCTCATTTTTATGTTAATGGCAGCAACCTTCTCTTCTTCCAGCTTCGTTGTTGCTGGAGTTTGCAGTGTAGCCATTAAAGAAAGGACCTCTAAGAATCCAAGTTTCTTTTGAGAATGGGGCTCGACAGTGTTTCAAGCCTAAATGATGTGATTTTTTGTCTTCTGTTGACTTTCTGAAGTCTAACTTCACTTCATTCTCCATTTTTCTCCTTAGCAAGGATGCCATTTTTATAACTTGGACACACCTTTCAGATATACATACCCACTTTCAATTTTTAATTTTTGAGAAACTTTGCACAAAGTTACAATTAGTTTATCGTTCATAAATCACTGGCCTAAATGAAAGTACATGCAATTGAAGATAGGATTCACACCAAAAAAACTTTTTAGAAAAAAAAACGAAGAACTGGCCCAGATGTACATAGGCCACAGCTTCTTATACCAGCCGCCTCGTAAACTTTTTTTTTGGCATATTGAGTTCTTAGGTGCGCACAGTCTTCAAGGAGTTGATACTACTTGGCAATCAATTGTGGAGCTCAGCCTTGAATTTATGTCTTTCCGTTTCATAATATTCGGTAAATTTGATGATGACTGACCAAAAAGTTTGATATCAGTATATCTCTGGCTTGTGCTGAAAAAAATAAACTCTTTTCTCTAATGACAACTAGTCTCAGTCTACTAACTGCTGTAGTACTCTTGTTGCACATGCTTCACTTATACATTTATGAATTTACAATGAATAAATTATTGAGAATACTTTGGGCCATTTTTTCACTTTTATTTCTACATCTGCTACTTGTACGTGCTGAAAAATATTGAGATGGATAAGCTGGCACTGGGATAAAAAATTTCCAGATTTCAAGGAAGAGGTTTGGTTGAAATGAACTAATATAGCAATATTGCATGCCGATTGTACACGGGTGCTTCATTTGTGCACTAAGATGACAGACTGGCATGATGAGATGAAAAGAGTGCAAGTGATTCCTTCATTCTTTCAGGAATACATTCATTCCAATTTTACTTAATGTGCATAGCAGTGCTAAGTGAAGGAGCCGATAGTACCATTAATTAGTACATGTATTAATGAAATACAGTTGAGTTTTACATGCACATTCTGGCTATGTGAGTAAGTAAAACAAATTACTGACCTGAGTGACCTCCTTGCTGTGATGACTAATTTCTGGTAACTGTTACTTCTTTTGTGTCCTTGCAACCTCTTGGCACAGCTCTTTTTTTGACTGAACCAGTTTCTCTAAACCAACTTGTGACAGTTGAAACATCAACACATAAATTAGAGGCAAAAGTTCTTCAAATGCCTCCAGTATGTAATTACAAACGTCTTTGTCAGTCTCGTCATAGCAATCCCTGACATAAAGGCATAGAGATATTGCCAACTCAATGAACTCAGACTCCGCCATTGTGGTTTCACATGCAGTTGGTGGGGTCAATGTGACCAGTGGGTGGGGTTTAGCAATTATTGATTGATCATCGATCATAAAACGATCTTGTGATTGTAAAAATGTTGCGATGCGCTTTGCGCATCGCCATGGTGTCTTTTTTATTGTTCATTAGTCTTTTTTTAATTTTGACGGTTTTGGCGTTCCATAGTACATATGTATGTATTATGATTATAGCTGTTACCATTTTTCTTTAAATTTTTTGCAATAATAAAAAGAGTTAAAATGCATACTGGTAGTTGTAAGGCTAAAGCCCAACATTGTGCTACAGGCCAGTCTTTAATTATCAAGGAAGGTGAAGTACCATATTGTATATTCCTGATTTCTTGTTTTGTAAAGTGTATGATAGATCATCGGACTATTTGGACAGGAATGTCTTGTTCATTAGTTATTTTTGTAGCAGGGAGCTCTGAGTGGCTCCCTGCTACATCACCTTACTAAATAGGCAATAGTGGCCTATTGCATGGCATTGGCATTCTTTCGATTCACCTTGAATATGCTGTTCCTCTTCAACTTTGCAACCACTAATTGATCCAATTTCTTTTGGAATGTCATTTGGTTTAAGGTTTGCACTTCAAAAAGAGCATGGTGTGCTCGTTCAACATTTTCCTGCCCACTTTGTTATTAATTTTTCATCGTGCTATAGCTGCCAGCTAACAATGCAATTTAAAATGAATTAAAAATTACTGTGAGTAATTTGGTATCTGTAGTGAATTGGTTCAGGTCCCCACCAAACAATAGATCGCCAAATGTCAACCATGACATTTGTAGCCTGGTGTTTTTTAGTTGATGTTTTCTAATCTTGTACTCTACAGCTACAGGAAATGATGTTACTGACTGATGGAGGAAAATAGCTAGCTTCGTTTATAATAGATAGGCAGGAATAAATTTTACAATCCAGCACATTTTTCTTGGTCAAAAAGTTATCCCAAGGCATCTGCTACACTGTTTCCTTCTGGTTTTTAGTTGCAATCAGCTCCAATTTTTTACATACTGTATAGCTGGTATATTTTGTCTGGAAAAAATGTCTTTCTTAGCAGGATTAAAGATTTTTGATTGTTTCGTTTTGCTCTAAGCAGGAATCGTGTTTTCAGACGTAGTACTTTTTACTTGATTGTTTTGAAGAGGAAGAAAGTTAATGAGATCTTCTACTTTTTAAAAGTGCATTTTTTATTTCAAGGTCTAAGAAAGGCCTGAATGTATCTTTTTTATTTATTCGTGAATTTGGTGTTATTATGGTTGATTAGACACCAGTTCTGTCGATCAGAACACTTGAATATTGGTGGTCTAGTTTCTTTATAACAATATAACGTTCTGTTGAACATTGAACATTTTTCTGAATGACTATAGACCAATGAAAATAATAAATGTGCCAAGTTGGCTTTTTAATGATTGATTTTGATTAATTGTGTCTGACTGAAGTCAGCAAAATGAAAAAAAAGATTACTAATAATTTGAAAATAAAAATGTTGTAATTATAATAAGAATTCCCATTCAGGGATATACTAGTGCAGAGACACTAGTGATATTTGTATGTAATTGAAACAAAAATAATAAATCCCAACATTGGGTAATGCTAGTATATGGTTGAAACTGACCTTTGGATTATATACATATAATGGATACTGTTGAAATGATGATGATGATAGTGTTTTATAATGAACTGCTGGTTCAGTTCTTTTATATTTTTATTTGTGTATTTATATCATTCTCGGGCCCCCAGTGTGGCAATAGTAAATGATCAGCTCACCATTCGGAATGCTACCATGGACTCAGTCAAGGTTTGTTTGAGCAACTTTTAATGTCATATCCTCCTCCTCCTTTCTCCATTTTTATATACAGCGTTATTCTGACGAAGTTCAGGCTCATTTTTCAAAGTCTTCCGCCGGAAGTGTTTCTCTTTTTCCTCCCAATCAGTCGGCCATACCTTCATTGCAACAACAGCAATTATCTGCTGCACAGGCTGCATCTTTTAATGAGGTATTGCGCTCTCAAGTCTTAGAGGCTTAAGACTCTCTTTAAGGCACCAGGCTGTGTCCAGTTGTACATAGTTTGGTCATCACTAATTCATATATTGTCTCATTTCGTGACACTCAAGCCTCCATTTAATGATTTTTTTGTTTTGTCTTAGTCTGATGTTATACAACAGCTAGCACTTGAAACTGGAATGAATTACGATTACTCAAAGAAATGTCTTGCCGAGAATGGCTGGAACTACGAGAAAGCTATTTCTACCTTTAGAGTTCTTCAGGTATATATAGTGTCTGATTTAAGTATAATTATTATAATTGTTGCTATTTTATTTTGTGATAATGTAGGGACAAGGAAATATCCCATTAGAGGCCTTTCGTACTTAATCTATATAAACTTCTCTCTCATTGTTACAAAAGTTGTCTGTGACAAATCATTGTTTAAACTCTGTTACTTTTCTTCATTTTATATGATGTATGTATACTTTTATTAAAATGCTAATTGGGCGGGGCTCGTTTAAGTCACGTGATATTGCTGGGAATTTTTAACCCTTTGTTGCAATGTTTGTTAACTAACTTAACTTGGTCTTGGTTCACTACGAATAAAGGAATCATGAAAGAAAGATTCACTACAGTTGATCTCCTCGCCTCGATAGAATACTTGAATAGAAGGTGAAAAAGATAGAAAGAGAAAAGCTTATTTTATATTTTAATCAGGCTAACAGGTATGAGAGTAGCCAACATTTATGATGTGGATCACAAGACGTATCTACTCAAACTAGCAAGGTCTGTATCTCTCTCCCTCTTCCCATTATACTCTCTCTCTCTACAGGTCTGAAGAGAAGATAGTCCTATTGGTGGAGTCTGGTTGTCGCTTGCATACAACTGAATTTGAGTGGCCGAAACATTTACAACCATCGGGATTTGCAATGAAAGTGAGTCCTGAATGTATAACTGATAAATTTTATTGCTGGTTTCTTTAGTTAAGGAAGCACCTACGGACCAAACGTCTCATATCAATCACTCAGTTAGGAGTTGACAGAGTCATTGACATGGTGTTTGGATCAGGCGAATACGCCCACCATCTTATCATTGAACTCTATGATAGGGTCAGTCTTGATTTGAGCCAAAGTCCCTGTACTATAGTACATGGTCTCCAGCTAAATTTTGCCAAAAATGGAAAGTAGAGAATTCTTCATTTTTATAATTTTTCCTGATACATACACATGTTCTTATGCTGCATAGAAAGTTTGAGCTCATTCCGATCAAAATTGGATTTATTATGAATTTTTTAAGTTGCTAAAAATTTGGGCCAAAGTCCCTGTACTATAGTACATGGTCTTCGATCATATTTTGCCAAAATTGAAAAGTAGAGAATTCTCAATTTTTATAACATTTTCTGATACATATACATGTTCTTATGTTACATAGAAAGTTTGAGCTCATTCCGATCAAAATTGGATTTTTTACAAAATTTTTTAATTGCTCAAAATTTGGACCAAAGTCCCTGTGCATGATCTTGGACCAAATTTTGTTGAAAATGAAAAGTAGAAAAATTCTCCATTTTTATAATATTCTCTTATACACAAGGTTTGAAATGATTTCGATCAAACTGAGATATACTGAAATATACTGAAATATGCTGCTTTCCTTTTATAGGGTAATATAATACTAACAGACCACACCTACTTGATACTGAGTCTACTAAGAACAAGAACAGATGCCGATGCTGATGTTCGTTTTGCTGTACGCGAGCATTTCTCGATGGACACAATAAAACAGGAACAAATCCTGCCCTCCATCGAACAGTTAGTTGGGTAGAGACCGTGAATATTAATTAATTGATTGTCACACCCATTTAGGGTTGCTGGGATACTTGGGAGTGCAAAACCCGGTGATCAACTAAGACATATATTAAATCCTCATTTTGGTAATATACAGAAGTGATGAGTAATTTGATTTTGATTCCCGTCTCTTTATCCAGTATATGGTACGTCTTTATTAACACATTGTTTGATTGGTATTGGACTAACTGAGAACACTAAACTACCTGCTACTAATGATAGTCCCATTGGTAGGTAATATTATGTAGTAGGCTATTATTAACAGTTTTGTCATTTTTAGATCCTGATCAAGTTCTCAAGGCTTTACTGGAAGCTCATGAAATCTTTCAAAGTTTTCGCTCAATGCCTTCAAAGGTATCCTATTATTATTATAACAATTAATTAATTAATTAATTAAACAATATAGGGTTACCTCATTCAGAAGAAGGATGTTGCTCCCACTGTGGGTGTGGCTACTTCTGACACGCCCACAACTTCAACTGAAGTGACAACGTAAGTTACATTTTTACATGTACATGTAAGTCCGATCCTCTTTCTCCTATTTTAGGAACATAGAGTTTCATCCATTACTTTACAGGCAGCATCTCTCATCTTGTTACAAAGAAGTAGAGACATTTGACAGAGTAAGGATAATGTCTTTATGAGTACACATATTGTGGCATGTTTTTAGGCAGTTGATGAATTTTTCTCTTCAAAGAGTAGTCAGAAACAAGATGTGAAAGTCATTCAATTGGTGAGTGTGTGCATGTACATGTATACTTGTTAATATTATCATTTTCTTCTTTTCTCTCTTTTTATTTATAGCAAAAATCTGCAGTCAAGAAGTTGGAAAATATCAAACAAGACCACGAGAAAAGAATAGAAGCATTGAGGAAATCTCAAGTACCACTAAATACACTTACAATTGTGTTAATGTTTCACTTGATCCCTTTTAAAGGATGAGGACAGATACAAGGCAGAACTCATAGAGTGGAACACTGATCTTGTGGAGAGAGCCTGTCTGGTGATAAGGAGTGCTGTTGCCAGTTCTATGGATTGGGGTGACATTGAGCTACTGGTACATGACGCTCAAGGAAGAGGTGATCCTGTAGCTAACAGCATACAAGGACTCAAGCTCCACTCCAACCTCATCACACTCTGGCTTAAGTGAGTAATGCTGGCTTATTTATGAGAAGCTATACAATTTTGACAAATTTATAAAATTTATTATGAGGATTTATAAAATTTTGAATGACTCTGAAATTGGCTTCAATCCCACTCTCCAATTTTATTTCATTTTCTAAATTATCAATATCATTTGGATTGAAGTGATTTCAACAACATTTCTTGAGTTATTGCTGATATTGTACATTGTATGTAGGGCTCCTTATGAAGAAGATGACGATGATAGTGATGATGAAGATATTCCAAAAAAGAAAAAGAAGGTACATATTACAATACCAATTAGAGACTATTGTTTGTTACTTTAATTTATTCTTTGTCTGTAGAAACCTTTTAAAGGTATTAAAGTTGATATCGATTTGGGTCTATCAGTCTATGCTAACGCTCGAAGATATTACGACATGAAGAAACAAGCAGCAAAGAAGGAACAGAAAACATCTGAATCTTCAAATAAAGTAAGACAAATGAATGACGTCATTATTTGTAATCTACATGTACATGTATGTTCTATTTTTAGGCCCTCAAGTCAGCAGAACGAAAGACAAAGCAAACACTAAAGGAAGCAGCTGTCATTTCTCGTATCACAAAAGCTCGTAAAGTCCACTGGTTTGAGAAGTTCTATTGGTTCATCAGCTCTGAGAATTTCGTTGTAATTGGAGGGAGGGACCAACAACAGAACGAGCTGCTAGTAAAGAAATACTTAAATGAGCGTAAGTAAGAGGAAGATGTAGTATATAATACATTATGTGTCTCTTGTCAGATGATGTATATGTACATGCTGATCTTCATGGTGCGACTAGTGTCATTGTTAAGAACCATTCAGGTATGCATTAGGGTATAGGGAGAATATTATTAGCCCTCCAATAGGGGGTCCGGTTCCTCCCAAGACCCTTAACGAAGCTGGTGTGATGGCTGTCTGTTATAGCTCTGCTTGGGAGGCAAAAATTGTGACTAGCGCCTGGTGGGTCTATGCTAATCAAGTGAGTGGGTGGGATCCGGGGCTTCCCTGTATTGTGTAGTATGGTGCAGGTTATTTTGCCAAAAACTGTTATGAGAGAATTCTTCATTTTTATAATTTTCATGATACATACCGTAGGTCGGGATATATTCGCGGCTGCTTATTTTCGCGATTTTTTCCCGCACTCAGCAATTACCATGGTTACCAAATGCAATTTTAATTGAAAAATCCGCGATATTAATAGCAAAGGACTCTGTTGCAGTGTTCTTGGGTAGTTGTTCTTCTTGCTGTTACTAATCCTTGGTCTCTTTGGAGCTGTTTTAACCAGAGCTACTCTCTTCACTCTGCCTCGCCGTATCTTGGCCCATTCTTGGGACTCTCCACCCATTTATTGACTTGGGCGTGGTTAATTATCACCAGCAAGTGGAGCGGCAAGGATTTCCAGTAAAGAGCTTGAAGGTAGTGGTCCATACAAGAAGATAGTGGATGAAGAACTGGATGGCTCCCACTAAAGCTGCTAAAGAATAGATAAATAGCTGCTGAACACTGTAATTGTATAAACACGTGGTCTTATTGTCATAGCAACAATCAATTGGTTTCCATGGTATTTAATTGAACCTTTTTATTAGTTTTTATTATCGCGAAAATAAGCAGCCGCGAATATATCCCGACCTACGGTATACATTTGAGTTGATTCCGATTAAAATTAGATTTTTTGCGAATTTTTAGTTACTCAAAAATTGGGCCAAAATCCCTGTACTATAGTACAGGGACTTTGGTCCGATTTTTGAGTAACTTTAAAAATTCGTAAAAAATCTAATTTTGATCGGAATCAATTCAAACTTTCTATGCAACATAAAAATATGTATACGTATCAGGAAAAATTTTTTAAATGAAGAATTCTCTACTTTTCATTTTTGGGGAAATTCAGTCAAAATCCCTGTACTATAGTCCAGGGATTCTGGCCAAATTTTACCAAAAATGAAAAGTAGAGAATTCTTCATTTTTATAATTTTTCCTGATACATATAGATGTTCTTATGTTGTGTAGCAAGTTTGAGCTGATTCCAATCAAGTTTGGATTTATTACAACTTTTTAAAGTTGCTAAAAAATTGGGCCAAAGACCATAATGTGGATCATATTGCTTATTAGTTTCATCAATTCAACTTTAGGTGTCAAAGACAGCTCCAAGTGGTGAATATTTGACTACTGGAAGTTTCATGATAAGAGGTAAATTAATCATCAATGAAATTTGAATTTTATTCTGTGATTAGGCAAAAAGAATTTCCTTCCTCCATGTCACCTAGTACTGGGATTCTCAATAATGTTCAAAGTAAAGAATATATAACAATAATTAAACTCTTATCCTTTTCTTCCCCCTCTTGTACATGCATGTACATGTACATGCATGTACATGTACATGTATCTCTTCTTTTAGGTTGATGAATCATCTCTTGCTAATCATATCAATGAGAGAAGAGTCAGATCAGCTGATGAAGATCAGCTATCAATTGTAATTAAGTCATTGCAGCACGTACTAAACACATTTAATTATTATTGCCATGCAGATGAGTGACTCTGTGAGCGAAATATTACTAGAAGAAGAGATTATTGAAGAAGATGAAGAAGAGATTGAAGGAGAAGAACACAATGACCAGCCATTAGAGGAAGGAAAAGGAGCAGAGCTGAAAGAGGATGAGAGTGACAATGATGAAGTAGAGTTTCCTGATACTGCCGTCTCAATACAGGCCAGTACTAGTACTGAAGGGGGCGGAGTCAGACTTCAGGTTCAACGTGTTGATAGTACAGTATCAGTCGAGGATAGTGAAGCCACACCTCTTAATGTAACTGGATCACTGCAATATTGATTAATTTATTAATTATTAGGGAGAAGGGCGTGTCACTTATCATCGGCACATATCGGCAAAAGAGAGAAAGTTAGTTGACTTGTTTTGTAATTTGAAATTTTTGATCTTTTTTTAGACTATTAAAGAAGCAGTCTTCTTCCAAAGGACACGAGGCTAGTTCTACACCTGCTAGCTCTAAGCCACACCCCAAACCACAGCCACTACCTCAGCCTCAATCACAGCAGTACAAACGTGGGCAGAAGGTGCTAGTGTTGTGTAATGGTATTGTGACTAATTTTTTGTATTTTGCAGTCAAAGCAAAAGAAGATTAAAGATAAATATGGAGATCAAGACGAGGAGGAGAGAGAAATGAGAATGAACTTATTAGCTGTAAGTAAATTGTGTATGTATGGTAATGGCTACTCTGTATTTTATATAGTCGAGTGGTGCTTTAAAGGAAAGTAAAGGAAAGAAAGGAAAGGGTAAAGGAGGAGGTAATGGTGGCAAGCGAAGTGGTGATATTGGACAATCATTTAATCCTAAGGATAAGTACCATCATAAGAAGAAGTCCTTAGAGACAGCTAATAATGTATTGGAACAGCATCACAGACAGCAACCGCCAGCTTTACTAGTACAACAAGAGGAGGAGATGGAACAAACTGTTTCAGATACAGCATTTGTTGTTGTTAATAATGATAATGATGATACTAAAAGAATGGACTCTGATTCTACTCATGAAATTCTCTCTACTGACCTGGTGACATCTTTTACTGATACTAATCAATCTAGCTCTTCCATTACTCCTTCATTATATGACCCCAGTTCTACTGATACTGTCCATACTACTAGTGATACTGTCATTAATCATGACTCTACTACTGACCAGCAGTTCCTGTCTACTAATACCACCATTAGCTCTCCTCCACCAGTTACTAATGATGAGTCACTCCCTCCATCAACCACTGAAGTACATATGTCACTCTATTAATTTGTATGTTATCTATTATATAATAGGTAGTGAATGATGAAATGGAGTCGGATGAAGAAGAAAAGAGAGCAATACTGGCTGATGAGAATATACTCCAATTAGAGGAAGCTCAAAAAGTACAGGATGAGTGTACATTAAAAGAATGCCTGAAACTACAGGCACTTTTGGTTTAGTAACTGTAACCAAAAGAATGCAAAAACTACACTATCTGTTTATACAGACATTTTGTTTATTGTTTGCTTTATTTGGCTTAGCTATAATGTTTACCCTCCTGTTATTCTCTTAGGAAATGTTTGATTTGGACTCACTGACCGGTTCTCCTTTACCAAATGATGAATTACTTTATGCAATACCTGTGTGTGCTCCTTATTCTGCCATGCATAACTACAAGTGAGACCTACTGATAGCCTTTTACTCCCATACCAATTTTGTCAAATTAAATTACTATGTCACCATTTATATCTAATTAAATTACTTTATTTTTGTGTAGGTTTAAAGTGAAATTGATACCGGGTACAAACAGAAGAGGGAAAGGTATTTAAATATTGAGTATTATTATCAATATTAACACATACTATAGCTGCCAAGACTGCAGTGCACAAGTTTGTACAGTCAAAGGATTCTACACAATTAGAGAAAGATCTGCTGAGAAGTATTAAGGTATCGTGCCTACTGTGTATTAGCCTTATTAGGCATGTTTTATTATGTGCATTTTTACCATTGCGTAATGTGCATACATTTTAAAGAGCTATCAATGTATTTGCTTTCTCACTTTCTCTTAGGACAATGACTTGTCTAGATATTTTCCAGGAAAAGTAAAAATGACACTACCACAACAAAGTCTAAGAACTAAACACAAATGATGCTAAAAATAATTATTATTTATGTTGTAAAATTTGTATAAAAAATAATCCTCAAGTTTCCCATGTTAACTTTAAAACTGAAGCAAACTCTTTTTCAGTATAGGGCCCAAATCATTATCATCATAGTCGTTCTCGTCCTCATCATTTCGCTTTCTTTTTTTGGGGATGTATGACCCATTGGGACAGAAACCTCTAAGACAGCGGGCAGTATCATGCTCAATATCAGTTACCTCAAAGTCAGGAGTGAAAAATGGTGAAGGCACAGACTTGGGGCACTTCATGACATGGTCTTCGCTAGGAAAATAGAAAGCAAAAGCATACGTATCCCAAGAGTATCTTATGCCAGAACTCATTACTCCATTCTCAATGGTGAGCCTCAATCGACCACATGATTGAATTTGTGAGTCTTCATTGTAGGTTGGACTGTATCCAATACCGTAAAGTATTGGATACTCACTCAGCTCACCCACTAGCTCTGGGCAGATTATGATAACTTTACAAATCTGACGATTATACCGTAAAGTGCCACCACATCGAAATTCTATCTTGGGTAGATTTATTGTTCGTCTTTGAAGTTTTATTGCCTCTTGATAGCATTGCAAGAGCTTGGTTATGTTACCTGATATTTTTTTATTACCAAATATAGACTTGTACGGCACTGAAAACTCATTGGTACCCTCAATTTTATCATTCTCTCTTGCTGGAAAGCAACTGCTATCAATTGACCACCATGAGTAGTATCCAGGAAGAAGCTCTTGGTCTTTTGTGATGACACGATATTCGGTATCTTCATTGGGTGCTTTATGAGTTGGTTTGCATATGACAGCACTAACTCGCCTGTTTGTAGTATTTTTACCATATTTCTTTTTTGGTTTAAACTCAAAGCAGTCATCTTGCTCTATTTCATCAGCTTCCTTACTATGAGTAACATGGCATAGTCGAGTGACCCTGATGACTTCATATTGAAAAGGAACAGTCTTGTCATTAGGAGCTGTTACTTTCTCATCATTCTTTCCCCAGGGAAAGTGCATCACATGATGACCTTTGAAAAATACTTCGTACATTTTTCTGCTACTTGTAAAATCACTAAAGACATGTCAATAAATTAAGAATTATTATAGATCTACTAACCTTCCTTTTTGAATTGAAGACTTTGCTGAAGCCATGATATCAAGTGTCACTGAGTTAAAGTGCTTCTTTTCTCTCTCAAATACAATCTGCTGTGCTTGTTTTTTGATCATGTGATATGACACCCTATATTCACAATAAGTAGCTATGTAGCTATTATAGTTTCCGGGCAGTCAGGTACAATATGCTATCATTAGTTCCAGTCATTTTGCTTTAACTCCATATTCCAGTAAGAGACCATTCCAGGTTACCCATATTCATTGCACTATTCAGTTATTCACACATTGTTAACAGAATTCATGAATCATGAAATTATTTTCCTTGTAAAGGATTAAAACATATAGCTAATAAGTATAGAGCTAATCTAGTTCACAATAGCATACACAAAAATAGACTAAAGCAGCATTCAGCATTAAAAATATAAAATTTTTTTTTGTTTTTTATTAGTTATTATCATCATCATCTACAATCATTGCTAGCTTTTTATTCAGTGGCTCTTGATCTTCATCATCTTCATCATCATCTTCAGTGAACACATGCGACTCATTTTCACATGCAGGACTTAAGTCTTCCTCCTCTAATTGTTGCATCACATGTTCTTGATCATACGTTATTCCTCCTTCCTCTTGGTCAAATTCCTCTTCCAAAGAAGACTCAATGTTATATGTTGCTTGTGGACTGACATTTTGTGCTATGGCAACAATTTCTGATTTTTCTTCTCTTCTTTTCTTCATGTTCTCAAGTTTCAATTTAAGTTGCTCAGAGAGCCCTCTTCCACCTGGACAGCTACGCCCTTTAGTAGCACAAGTACCATGAGGTACTTTTTTGCATATGACTGCTTGCTCTGGGCATTTCATCTGCATGTCATCACTTGGAAAATAAAAGACGAAGGTAAACTCATCATATATGCAGTCACTATAGGTATAAGGTTTTTCGTATTGAAGCTTAATTTCCGTTTCTTTAATTGGCATTATTGGGTACTCTTCCTTTGGTAGCTGACTTTCTTCTGCTGGGCAGATTATAATTACTTTACACACTCGAAACATATAACGAAGAGTGCCACCACAGCGAAACTGTATTTCTTTTAACGGGGGAGTGAATGCTTTCTTATAACACTCTATCAAATCATCTACTTTGGCTGAGAACCCAATGTCGCCAAATAAGGAGCAACGTTGATCTTCATCATCTACAGGGGACCACCACGAATAACATCCTGGAAAAAGCTCATCACGAGAAGATACATAATTATACTTTGTATCATTATCTGGAGGCACATCATTTGGACTCTGCCTCTGGTATGTTGTCATGGTGGAACTTACACCCTTTCCACGTTTTCTAAAAGGTTTAAACTGTAGCTGATACTCTTCATCACCATTGACACTAGTAATTATACTGTCAGCTTCAGAGAAATGGGTATCATGGCGTAGCATCTTCACTTCCTTTTCTTTTTCATACCCTCTGAAAGGGGACGCCTCCCACGGTTCATGCATCACATGTTGACCTTTGAAATGTACTTCACATTTTCTTCCTCTAAGGTATCTAAAAGTAACAAAATATGAAACTTGAACAATGCAACTAATCTGCTTACTTTCCAGACACAGACATTATGTATTACTGCAAGTGCAATAAATGACTGCTCTATGGAGAGTAGTGATACTATATAGGGTACAAGTGTCAGCTATACTGTGAATATATGAATATCATAAGGTTATGAATAATAGCTATCCAGGAATAATAGATAGATAGCTCAGCTGCCTAAAGCTTGCTAACTATTAAATAAATCACATGTTCTCAGAAAAAATCAAATTAAAAGTAATTTTAATTTTAAAATAGTGTATAAACACACATTTGACACACACACACACACACGCACATGCAGTTAAAGTTTATGAAGGAGTGGGTGGGGTTGTCTGCCGAGGTGCTGGTCTTGTCTGCCTCATAATGACCATCATTGTCATCACATAATGACCTTTAAAGAATACTTTATACATTTTTTTTCCTACTTGTAAAATCACTGAAGACATGTCAATAAAGTTAAGAATTACTATAGATCTCTACTAACCTTCCTTTTTGAATAGTAGGAGAAGTTGCTGAAGCCATGATATCAAGGTGCTGCTTCTTTTCCTTTCAATCACACTCTGCTGGGTGTATCTATTATTGTTTCTGGGAGGGGGGACAATATTTTATTAGTTCCAGTCATTTTGTTTTAACTGTAGCTGCATTATATTCCAGTAAGAGACTGCATTCCAGGTTACCCATATTCATTTGACCATTCACACTTTGTTAACAATATTCACAAATCGTGAACTTTTTCCTTGTAAAGAAGCATTAAAATATCTCTAAAACATCATTGCAGCAACTAAATAAAGCTAATTTATTATAAAAGCTATAGCTAAATAACCCCCCAATTCCCCATGTTAATATTAGAACTGAACAGGACCACTCTTTTTGAGTATAGGACCCAAATCATCCTCGCCATTGTCATCTTCATCATTTCGTTTTCTTTTTTTGGGCATGCTGGGATGGTCTTTCACTTCTTTATCTTCCATTTCTTCCTTGAGCTCCTCATCTTCCATTTCTTCCTTGGGCTTCTCATCTTCTATTTCTTCTTTGGGCTTCTCATCTTCCATTTCTTCCTTGGGCTTCTCATCTTCCATTTCTTCCTTGGGCTTCTCATCTTCTATTTCTTCTTTGGGCTTCTCATCTTCCATTTCTTCCTTGGGCTTCTCATCTTCCAAAGGAGACAGTGCAATATGTGCTGATTTTGAGCCGACTGCTTTTTCTTCTCTTCTTTTCTTCATGTTCTCAAGTTTCAACTTCAGTAGCTTGGGAGGCTCTTTATTACCATTTGGACACCTACGCCATTTAGCACAACTTTTATAATTGTGATATACTTCCTTGCATATTATTGCTTGTTCTGGGCAGTTCATCCGCATGTGCCTTTTCGGAAAATGAAACATAAAGGCAAACGTATCATATATGAAATTTTCGGGATTATCATATTGAAGCTTAATTTCTCTTTCTGTCATCATTGGCATCTCTGGGTATTCTTTATCTGGTAGATTAAATACTTCTTTTAAGCAGATTATAATTACTTTGCATGCCTGCTTCTTGTAACGAAGAGTGCCACCACAACGAAATTGGATTTCTTTAGATGGCAGATCGAATGCTTTCTTGTAACACTCTATCAAATCATCTACTTGGGCTGAGAACTCAATGGTGCCAAAAAAAGAGCCACGTTCATTTACAGGAGACCACCATGAATAGTATCCAGGGAAAAGGTTGCTATAACAAGATACAGGCTCATACATTGTAGAATCATTAGGCTCAATACTTGCAGGACTCTGACTCCGGTACGTTTCCATGCTTCCATCTTTTCCACATTTTTCAAAAGCTTTAAACTCAATTTGATAATCTTTGCCATTATTATTACAAATTATACGATCGGCTTCATAGAAATGAGTAACATGGCATAACATTTTCACTTCCACTTCTTGCTTGCGGGTTGTACCAGTATATGGCTTCCATGGGTAATGAAGTACATGTTCACCTTTAAAATGCACTTCATAATTTGTATGTTTAAGTGAACTAAAAGTAACAAAACAAATTATGAAAATATGACTTGTCAACTTACCCTCCAGACTTATAATCAGACATCATGTATCACTGCAAGTGCAATAAATCAATGCTCTATGGAGAGCAGTGATACTATATAGGGCACAGGTCACTAGTGTCAGTATACTGTGAATATATGAATTCGGTACCATAAGGTATATGAATAATAGCTACCCAGAAATTATAGGATGGACAACTGCTTGCTAACTATTGAATCACATGTTCTCAGAAAAAATCAAATTAAAATAAAATTTAATTCTAAAATAGAGTATAAACACACATTTGACACACACACACACACATATACAGTTAAAGTTTACGAAGGAGTGGGTGGGGTTGTCTGCCGAGGTGCTGGTCTTGTCTGCCTCAGACGATTCCTTTGTTCTCTATGTACATCAGCTTCAGCTTTAAGGGTTGACATTTTATTATCCATCTCTTCATCGAACACTCTCTTCTCTTCCGCCAGCTTTGACTTCAATTCTTCAACCTCTTGTTTCATTGCTTCTTTCTCTTCAGATGATAATTCCTTTTGTAAAATACAACAATAGCCAGCCCCTCCATTATGCACTATTAACTTACTAAAGCATCGTTCTTTTTCTGAAGAACGCCATCACATTTTGCTACTACATCTGATACTAAACAAAGAAGGTTTATTTAAATGTACCCAATGTCCATATTATGTTACTCACAATTTGATTTTATCTGGTTAAATAAAGGAATACTTTGCTTCATTTCTTCCAAATAGACAGCATCGATCTCATTAGCTAATTTCATTGTGTCTTTAAGAAGCTTAACATCACTATCCCCACGTTTACTCTTTAGTTTCAGAATACGATAATGAAAATTTATATTGACATTAAATTACCTCAAATTCCTGTACAAAATAATGCACTTCATTCTGCAGTACTGGCCTATGATTCAGTAGTCTTTTATATATGCTGCCAGCATCTAAAATAATTATTTAATAAAACAAAGTAAAGACACTATAGCTTGCCTGATATGATGGCATCTGTCGCCATTTTGTTTTTTCTAATGCGCATGCTCAGTGTGATTGACTGATTGTTAAGTTATGTTAACCGGGCTACTGCGCGCCAAAGTTGTGGCTACTGACTAGCTCAAGAAAAGCTCTTGTTCTGAAAAGCTATGGTTAGAACTAAAGCCAATAATGCATGTACTAGAAAAGGTATAGAATCTTTCTCTTAAACCACTAGTTATTTGTCTTTTCTTAGCTGTTGCAGCAAAGGCTCCAAGGAAATCTCTAGGTGGAGGAGGAGGAGGAGTCAGACATAATTTCACATCTCCCTCTTCTGCTGGCAGAAAGAAGGGAAAAGGAGTTGGAGGAAATCCAATTAGAGTACATCCAACGCCAGCTTGGCAGAAAGGTGAATAGCGAAAGCATTACAATCACATAAAGGGTGGCATTTTCCTATAAAAGCATGCCAAGTGAACTAAACAGCAGCAAGCACAGTGCGTACAACTTTAAAAATTCGTAAAAAATCCAGTTTTGATCGGAATGAACTGAAACTTTCTACACAACATAAGAACATATATATATATATATGTATCACAAAAAATTGTAAAAATGAAGAATTTTCTCTTAGTGAAATTTGGTCCAAGACCATGTACTATAGTACAGGGACTTTAGCCTGATTTTTTAGCAACTTAAAAAAAATCATAAAAAATCCATTTTGATCGGAATGAGTTCAAACTTGCTACACAACATAAGAACATATATATTCATCAGAAAATATTATAAAAATTGAGAATTCTCTCCATTTCAATTTTGGCGAAATTTAGCCTGAGACCATGTACTGTAGTACAGGGACTTTGGCCCGATTTTTGAGCAACTTTAAAAATTCATAAGAAATCCAATTTTGATCAGAATGAGCTTAAACTTTCTACACAACATAAAAACATATACATGCATCAGGAAACATTATAAAATTGAGAACTCTCTCCTTTTCACTTTTGACAAAATTTGGCCAAAGATTAGGACTATGCCAAAATCCTGTGGGAAGGCTTGGTAAAGGGTGTGGTTTAGGATCAGCACTAGATTGGGAGCATTAATATATTTATAGTTTACATTTTGAAGTAATTATGACACACCCATTATAAGTATAGCAATTTGGGGTGGGCATTATTGATAGTATTACAGGCATTAAATTACTGATATGCTATTGTATACTAGGTATAGACCTTTTTATGGGCGGTGGATCAAGTAAAGAAACAGCTGCTTCATCATCATCAAGTCGAAGTGAAGAGAACAAGGAGAATTTCCCAAAAGGGAAAGGAAAGAGAGGAGTCAGTGGGAAAGAGAGACATAAAGGAGAGAAGGACACAGCTGCTGCTGTGATAGATGTTGAAGAAATGAACAATGATGAAGATGATAGAGAGCAGGACGAGGAGACAGAAGAAATAAATGAACAATCAGAAGAGGAAAGAGAAGATGAAGAACTGGAAGAGTTAAAATCTGAAGATGAGGAAGAAGAGGTAGAGGAGGAGGAAGAAATAGAAGAAGACGATATACTGGAAGAGGAAGAAGAGGAGGAGGAAGAAGAAGAGGGAGGGAACAAATCAATGTTAGATTCATTACCAACTGATCTTTTTACCACACAGGATAGTGACAATGACAATGATAGTTAATTTAAGTTATATCATGGTATAATTCATTGAGTTATTATAAAAATAAAAGTTTTAATGTATAAAAATAAATTATCTTGTAGTATATAAGTGCATTTGTATTTCGTTACATTACATGTCTTCATTATCACAATGTCGTCTTTTACTTTTTCTTTCATCCTCATGTGAGTCATTACTCCTTTTCCTTTTGATTTGAGTATCACTAGCTATTTCATCAGGGCAAATCCATTTAGATCTAGTTCCTGATGGTAGATCTTTTTGAGGTATTTTTTTGATACAATTATCACTAGTATGTATTATTTTATCAGTTTCATTGAAGTCACTTTTTGGGCAAATCATTTGGTGCTGGCCATGTGGAAAATGAAAGCCAAAGACATGATTGTTCCATGATGCAGCTCCTTTTATTTTTTTGACTTTTATTGAGTTAATAAATGAAACTACATTTTTAGAATTAAGCCGAATCTTTCTTCCTTCTGGCCACACTGGATATTTGTCATAAGGTAGCGTTGGTTCCTTTTCTTTACATACAATAATAACGTAGCATATTTCAAATTTATATCGTAGTGTCCCACCAATCCTTAATTCAATTTTAGGAAATTTCCCTGTCAAAGGATCTTTTGGGAGACTTTTTTGGTAATGCTCAAATACAAACTTGATACTTCCATATATTGCTACACTTCCATATCGGGATCTGTGTGGCTTATATTTAATGCTATTATCAATAGACCACCACAAGTAGCTACCAGGTAAAAGATCTGTACTTGAATCTACATATTTGTACTTGCTTCTTTTGCCTGGTGGCATCTTGATATCGTCAGCCGCTACAAAAGTGAAACCCAGAGGTGATCCATCTTTTTTATATCCTGATTTGCCTTTTTTCCTATTAAATTTTAGAGTGTATGATCCAGGATTTAATTTACATATCTCATCAAATTCTTTCTTGTGGGTGACATGACATAATGTCTTGACGATTTCACCCTTAGCTTCTCCTTGACCACAACTGCTAGCTTCATAGGCCTTCCAGGGCAAATGAGGTGTATACCGGGATGGAAAATAGACTTCAAGGTGTCTTTCTTTCCAGCCATCTATAAAATAGCTAGATATATATAATTTGTAGCAGCAGCTAGATAATATTTACCTCCCCTGTTCTGTACACTTTGGTGTATTTTCCCACGCCGGATCCCGTCGTTTCTTTGTTGGGCCAGCCAGACTAGAAATAGAGTGATTTTGCATGCTTAATTTCAAATGGAAGCATTTACTTGGAGTGCTTGGAACAGTCTAGAAGTTTAGAACAACCTGGAACTTTGGAGTTCGGAACATCTAGTATGGTTGTTTTGCAGCTACGCCGAGCTATTTTATAGGCAATCTCGTTAATGAATGCAATTAAAAATAATCATCCCACCCACAAGCAATTTGGAAATTGGAATGGTTTCCCTTCTTCTCACATGTCTCATCATCACTTCATTATCAAGGTATGTTACTGCTAATTATTTTGTCATTTATATGATATTTAGATACAGTAATGGGGAGATGAGCAGCTTTAGCTTACCATCTTATAAAACAACAGCTGTATGTACACAACACTCATTATATAATCAGTCTCTCATGCCATGATTTCAGATATTTCTGAACACAATTATTGCTAATAACATTAGCTTAATATTGAATTACAGTTCTGAATGTAGCATTAGTAGAAGGTCAGTTTCATTTGCTACTTTAAAATAATGACTGTGTTGCTAGCACGGCTTTGCTAATTCAATGTACATCTCCTGGTTTTCATAATGTGAAACTTCAAATTGAAAATGAAACTCTGTCTACTTGGGTATGATACTTGTGTAACTGTCAGAAATTGTAGTCATCTAACAGGTTCCATTTGACAACACTCCATATTGCTACTGGTGGGATGCTTTATATGTTTATGATGTCAATGCCACTTCATTCTCTCAGGCTCTTTGTTTGGATAGATAATGGCCAGTCATCCACCATTTCACCAAATGTAAGCAAATTACATCATTTATAACAACTGAAAACATCTCTGAATCATCTACCATGACATACATACATACCAAGTATTGGGTAACTACTGCCTATAATTATATTCACGTGTGTAGTATTGATTTGTCTTCTTTTTTTCTCACATAGTTACTTACTCATCAATTTTGGCAAGTAGGGGATTACCCACGGATAGTCCCTTCTAGTAGTAATAACATGATAGTGCACTATATAGGATTCAATAACAGGTAGATGTATCTAGATCTAAGTATAACCTTTACTATTAATAATTATATACTATCTAAACCACATCTAGTTTTTGGGAATTCCAGTTCTTAGAATTAGTAAGTGATGTATACTCATACACACTGACTATTGATGATAGTATAATTAGTCTATTGGACTGTATTGTCAGGTAAATAAAATAATAATAATGTGAGCTTAGTGTCAACATACGTAAATGTCTGATTCTATAGATCAACTAGTTTTGTCATCAGTCGACCAATGTATTCCATTGATTCACTAATTACAGTACATGTAAGTTAATTATCATGAATATTATCACATTGCTACACTGTTAATATTATTATCATTAGAACCAAGTGGTCACTTTATTGAATGACACAGGTAATGGGTTACAGCTGTTTAGAGATACTGCTGCACCTTCTGTTGCCATAGCAATACAAGGGTAAGAGCTAGAGAAACAAATATGTTTTCTAAACTTTCCTTAGAAATATAAATATCATGACACAGGATGGTTTTAGAACATAATCTGTATTAGAAGATTTTCTATTCCTAAAATTTTATTCTTTGCATTTTCATGTTACCATATAAGGTTAATGGTTATGCTGGTAGTATTAAAGATATAGTGTACACCAGCAGTACTGGTATAGTACTATTGATTGACCAAGAGATTATCACACTAATGAATGAGAGTACTTCAATTCACTCTCCCTCTGGTAAGTTAGGATATCTCAATTAGCTGCTATTGGGATTGGTTCTATTTAGGTTTATCATCCTCCATATTAGAAAACAATGTCTTTCATATAACTGGTAGAGGAAGGGACATTATCTATGATAATGTCAGAAAGAAGGGCAAAGGAGTTGGAGGAAATCCAATTAGAGTACATCCTACACCAGCTTGGCAGAAAGGTTAAGAGCGAAAACATTATAATCACATAAAGGCTCGCATAAAGGGCAGTTAAAAGCATGCTAAGTGAGCTGAACCGCTATAAGCACAGTACGTACAACTTTAAAATTTGTAAAAATCCAAATCTGATTGGAATCAGCTTAAACTTTCTACACAAAATAAATACATGTACATGTATTTTTTAAAATGATAAAATGGAGAATTTTTGCCTTTTCAATTTTGGCAAAGTTCGGCCCGCGATAATGTACTATAGTACAGGAACTTTGGCCTGATTTTTTAGCAACTTTAAAATTTGTTAAAAAAATCCAGTTTTGATCAGAATGAACTCAAAACTTTCTACACAACATAAAAACATGTATATGCATCAAGAAACATTATAAAAATTGAGAATTCTATCCTTTTCAATTTTAACGAAATTTGACCAAAGATGAGGACTATGCCAAAATTCTGTGGGAAGCCTTGATGAAGGGTGTGGTTTAGGATCAAAACTAGATTGGGAACATTAATATATTTATAGTTTACATTTTGAAGTAATTATGACACACCCATTATAAGTACAGCAATTTGGGGTGGGCATTATTTATTGGCATAGTATTACAGACATTAAATTACTGATATGCTATTGTATACTAGGTATAGATCTTTTTATGGGTGGTGAATCAAGTAAAGAAACAGCTGCATCATCATAACAAGGAGAATGTACCAAAAGGGAAAGGAAAGAGAGGAGTTAGTGGGAAAGAGAGACATAAGGGAGAGAAAGACACTGCTGCTGTGATAGATGTTGAATAAATGAATAATGATGAAGATGATGGAGAGCAGGAAGAGGAGATAGAAGGAATAAATGAACAATCAGAAGAGGAAAGAGAAGATGAAGAATTAAAGTCTGAAGATGAAGAGGTAGAGGAGGAGGAAGAAGAAATAGAAGAAGACGATATACTGGAAGAGGAAGAAGAGGAGGAGGAGGAAAAGGGAGGGAACAAATCAATGTTAGATTCATTACCAACTGATCTTTTTACCACACAGGATAGCGACAATGATGGTACATGTAATTAAAATTATTTTAACAAAATAATAGATCTATGTGACTGTGTCTAAAAGCAAACAAAATTAGTAAGAGTTAAAAAAATAGAGTGTATAATTATGCGTAATAATTATAGTGATAAATACAACTTTGCTCTTTGCTAACAAGCTTCCATTTAGCTCAGCTTATCAGGGCATACAAATTTTTTGTAAGCTCCAGGAGGCTTTTTTTTTAAGCATTTAGAATGGTTTATAAGTTGGTGATCGAAAATTTCCTCGTGGCAAATCATTTCTTCATCACCATCAAAGTATAAAGCAAACACAAAATGATCCCAAGAGCAATTAGTACCATAGCTTGATTTTATGCTGCTATTCAGTCTAATATTGATTGGATCTATAATCCTAACAATATTATTAGTTTTGTCAAACTTAATCTTGTTTCTTCCTTCCTCCCACATTGGGTATTGCTCCAATTCTTTTACTCCACTTTTACATAGAATGATAACATAGCACACTTCAAACTTGTAACGTAGTGTTCCTCCAACTCGTAGCTCAATTGTAGGATACTGACCATTGTGATCAAGTGGGAAACTGGCTTGATAAGTTGCAAGTACATCTTCAAATTGTCCATAAATCATATTCTTGCCATAAGGAGAATCATGAGGACTAGTGAATGGGGTACTGGGTCTGCAACTGTAGGGTGCTTGTGGAGGATTCTCAATGTAAACAGACCACCAGATATATTTTCCTGGCAAAAGATTTTCCCCTGAACTAATGTAGCGATACTTGCTCTGGTCATTTGGTATTTCATCCTTAATTGCAACAAAACTGTGACCAACAGGTGTCCCATCATATTTTTTATACCCATTTTTGCCAACCTTTCTTTGAGCCCTTAGTGTGTAAACATTGGGTCTAGATCTAGTTATCATTTGAAACTCCTTGTTGTGCGTGACATGGATCAAGAAGGAATAGTTATCAATGGTGATTGTCTCAGGCTGAGTAAAATTACGCGGCATAACTGGATCTAGCTCTTCAAACCAATTATATTGTTTCCATGGCCAATGAGGCTCAAGCACAAATGGAAATAAAATTTCTTCCTTTCTACGATCCCAGGCTTCTTTAAAATATCTAGATATGTTTGAAACATAGATATAGTTGAAAACTAATTAGATAGCGCTAACTTTTTTCCTGTGACAACATTCGGGGGAGGTTCCGTCCACCACTCGTCTTTGCTCGAGTTTATTATATCGGGTGGTCCTTCAACCTGCAGGCTGAGAGACTGCATTGCAATATCCATTATTATTATTATCCTTAATGGGCTCCTGTCATTCTATAGGCTACAGGAATAGGACCTAAATATCATAGCTAGTTTAATAGATCTAGAAGACCAGTTGACCACGCCTATACTAAGGTATTATTTGATCATAGATGATTATTTTATGATTCTATAAAAGTTTAATACAAAGTCATGGAGAGATGAGTAGCTTTAATGTACAATCTTACAAGACAGCAGCTGTATGTTCAACATAATGCTATCGTCATGATTTATATATACATTTGATTCTAGCTGATTCTTGACACTATTAATGTTACCTCAATTTCAACTACAAGTCCTAATTGTAATTTGACTTCTTATTGCATCAAGTATGTTTTTTAATAAATATCTTGTTTGTGTCATGTT